CTACCAGCGGTACAGTGGACTATGATGATCAGTGAATGTCAGTGGTGATGCTGTTATGCCGTGCAAACTTTTAGCTCGGCATTTTCTGGCCAGCCCCGCGGAATCCGCTTTGCCGCACGCCTCGCCGGCGCTACCGGCGCCGCATCCTCGGGCAGCCTAGGAACGTTGGAAGGCCTGTCCCCGTGAAGTAACCTATCAAAGCGGTCGCGTTAGCGCATACTTTTTTTTTTTTAACCACAATTTGTTTTGCGAAGTTGTTTTTTAGAGTCTATTTATTTATTGCCTTCTATGGCAATGGCGCTTCGTTATATTGAAATAGCAGCAAAATAGACTTCGTTATATAGAGACTAAAAATACATGGGGTCTATGGGCAAGAAATTATGAAAAATAAAATACTTCGTTAAATCGAGGATTTCGTTACATTGAAGTTCGTTATATCGAGGTTCGACTGTATAGCTCTAAAAATTTTTCCTTTTTGTTGTAAATTTGTTTTATGACTTCCTTTTCCCAACCAGGCTGTTTAAAAAAAAATTTATTTTTCAGTACTAGGGATGTCGCAAACCACCCTAGGTTTTAATTCGAAAGGTTTCAATATTTTCGAACCATACCAAGGTTCAACCTCGAAAAGTTTGCAACTTTTGAACACCGTGATGTTTCGAATTTTAAAAGTTCGAAGCTTGCACGGTTTCTAAAAGTTTTGGTTCCAATATTTTGAATATATTTTTACTTGAGGTTCGAGAAACTCGAAGATTTCTAACTTTTCTAATTTGAAATTCGAGAGATTCGAAAATTTCAAATTTCTGGGGATCTGAAGTTCGACGATTTCAAATTTCTTTGGATCTAAAATTCAAAATGTTTGAACGTATCAAATTTTTATAGACATAAAGTTCAAAAAATTCGAAGATTTCAAATTTCTTTCTACATAAAGTTTGAAAAGTTCTAAAGTTTCAATTCTCTTTTAGGGCTAAATTTAAAAAAAACTTCCAAGATTTCGGATTTCTTTCAAGTCCAAGTTTGCAAAGTTCGAAGTCCGGTTTTCATGTTCCTCCACCCCAGTTTCAGTTTCAAACAACGTTTTCATGCCCCACTGGTTTTCATGAATCAGGTTTAGAAAAGTTTGGAAGTGATATTTAGACTGCGCGAAGTTGGTCAGGCAATTACATGAGACGACGAGTGTCCCGGATGAGCTGGAATATTTGCCAGTGCAGACTGACGTGTGACCATAGATCAGTAATTGTGACCGCCAGCCCACTTTGACGTGCTTCACGCAGTAGTAATCACACAAACACACTGTTTTATCATACTCATCCAGTTCGAAACAGCCGGGGGTGGGCAGGAGGTTGAGGCTCAGAAAAACCTTGGAGCAATCTGGCACACTACCTCGCCACTTCCTTGCACGCTGCTAGTAATCCCATTGAACGCCGTCCGAGTGACGCTGTCCTATAGTAAGTTTAGTTTGTAATTGTTCTGCAGGTTTATTTTACGGGACAAAGGAAACGCCGAGCAAAAAGCACAAAAGCCGACATAACTCGAGGTCGAGGAGCGTTCTACCATACCAATGGCGTCGGAAGAAGAAAAATGGGGGGAAGGAAGAAGGGTAAGGGGGGGGAGGGGCGGGGGGGAGTTCCAGTTTCCCTCCCCGCCCCCCAATATTTCGGAATGTTAAAGAAAACAGTACAAGGAAAGAAGGTGTGGTCGAACTTATTTTAATCTGAAATTATTTACGCATATGTATAGCTACTGTCACTCTTCACTGCAAAAAAGATGGCTTAGATGGTCATTGTCGGAAACTCGTTGTCAGAAGGCACTACTCGTCACATGCTTAGCGGTTCGGAAGTTTAAAGCTGTCTTTCCGACCTAAATAACGGTGCCATTGGTAAAAAAAACTTAAACATAACAATAAATGCAAAAATAAAAAGCTGGAGAAAAAAAAAAAAAACTATCAAGAACTTGTTGGAAGTGTTGTATTCTTGTATATTCAGAGGCTCAGAACTTTGAAACAAGTTTCTCTTACCAAATGTGCTAAAAGAAACACGCCCCAAAAACCTAAAACAAAAACAAAACCCCAAAAATTTAAAAATGGCGCTTTTCTTTTTTTTTCTTTTTTTTTTTTTTTTTAATGGCGTGCTGAATTTGAACATTAGAAATCTTTTCCCATGAGTTGATTTATTCCTCAATGTGAAAAACCCAATAAATACATTATTTTGTATTCTGCAGATGGCAATGATATGTAGTGTCTGTGGTGTTAATTTAAATGTGATACCTCAAACAATTTAGACAAAAAAAATTACCAAGTTTAGGGCATAATTGCTCGTAGATACATGTTTGGACATTTCTTCGAAACTCATCTTGAACAAAAATAATTGTATCTTAATTTTAAGATACCTAGGCTAGACATAGATCATTCCTAAAAAATTTAATATCTCTACCATAAATAGCTCCGGCTGGAGCACGCTTCAAATATGGCACCAACAATCGTCAAAAACCCGTCGTCCTTCCCCGCTCCTTCGGGAATTTATTTCTTTAAAACCAAGCATGCTAGTTGAAAAATAGAAAATTTTCGAATTTTCTAGACAAATAAGTTTGAAAATGATTGAATTTCTTAGCGTAGGAAGTTCGAAAAGCTTCAAACTTTTTAGTCTATCAAATTTGAAAGTTTGACAAGCATCAAATTTTGCAGCGTAACAAGTTTGAAAGTTCGAAAAGGATCGAATTTTTTTGCGTAATAAGATTGAAGGTTTGAAAGACATTGCGCCGACAAGTGCCCTTCGTCGACCACTTTACTCGGAAGAAAATTCTTCCCAAAAAGGCCGTGTCGCTATCTTTGAACACGATTTTAACGAGGAAATAAAAAAGCTACGCATGACTGTGATTTCGGGTTTGTTGGGATGCTTAGAGCGTCTTGATTGAGCAGTCACCACAAAAGAACAATCTCAGAATCGACTTCAGTGCCGCTTTAAGTAACACCGTTTTTGGCGAGGTCATTATTGGCCAGGGCCCTGCAATTACAGGAAGTAAACTACCTATCCTTCTGTGTTTTTCAAAAAAAAAAAAAAAAGCAATTCATGCCAAAAATAGGGTGTGCTACCTTTTGGAGGTGGGGCATCTCTCGGGATATTACAGTATATCTCAGAAATAACGGGTGTGTCACAATGTTTCTAACTGCCACGTTGTGTCACACGAAGGTTTCATGATACAATGACAAAATATTTTCATGTGGGACAGGATGATTATCTTAGTGATGTGATTGGCCTAAAACATTTTGGAGCACCTTTCGGAGCAGCCAAAACAGGGTTTTGGAGCAGCAAATGTGGCCTTTGGAGCAACCAAGACAGTGTTTTGGAGCAGCCAAGACAGTGTTTGGGAGCAGCAAAATTACTTTTGAAGCAGATATTCTTAGAAAAAATAAATATATTTGATTTAGGTGCTGTACAAACGAAGGGCATTTTGTGTTGTGTTCTGATGTGACGTGTTGTGACCGAACTCGCTGCTTGTGTTTTGACTGCTGAGACATCCCACAAGTGTACAGTGCTGTAGGCATTGCCGAGCAATTCCGAAAAAACCGCTTGCCACCGTTTGACTGGTTCCCAACGTGCCAGATTTTCGTCAAAAGTAAGCAAACATAAATGGATTGCAAGCATCCCGGCTGGGGACTCTGTCGTGCGATCATGTTCGCATGCACGTGATGGCAACTACGGCAGGTTTGCAGTTGAGCGTGCTTCGTCGCGCGAGCGGAGACAATGGCTGTTCGATCGAAACCGAAACCATGCCACTCTGTTCCGTCACGGACCGATTCCCAAAATTGTATGCAAAATGGAACTGTCAAGCATACGACAAAAAACACACCAGCGGCGCGTGCTTGACAGGCTGGCAAACGAAGTACAAGCTAAAAAAAAGAATTTGTGCGCATTGATGAAAGACATCGCGAGCCAGGGTCAAAGAAGTTCTTGGGGCACTTTGTGCAACGACTGAACTCGATACAAACAAGCGCTCTGTGCGGACTCAGCGTACAGACATTGTCTTCTTTGCTTTAGCTCACTTCTCTTCACCAACTTTCGTTCGTGGCAGATTTTCCACGTACCGGGGTCCCTCTCGAAAGACAGCCCACCGAGAGAAACGTTGGTAATTAATACTTTGGCACAGCAGTCTTCGAGTTAAAGAGGAATTTTCGTAGTAACGTATGATTTCAACAAGAGCAGGAATGTTGATGAACATGTGGCAGTACTTAGTTCCATCTTAGAAAGCGCCATATCTGCAATGACGTGGGGACGGCAACATCCAACGTCGCGCGGCCACAGTGACTGGAAGGCAAAGACCAAATATAGTTTTCCCACGGCCGCTGCTTTCAGGAGCGAGTGCTTCAGCACACAAAGTAACACCCCCCGCGCAAAAATGTGGCTTCGTTTCACAGCATGACTGGTACCCGGCAAGCCAGCGTCGGAGCATCCACACAGACCTGCGTCTATCGTTAAAAATATTTTAAAAAAATATGCAAGACGAGATCTACGCGACGACGAGAGCACGAAACGCGAGACGGCAGGAAAATTATGCAAGACTGGATGGACAATTGATGTAGGGTATTTTGTGTCGGGCGGCCGCTTACGCCATATAGCACACACGCATGCTCAACTTAGTTTAATTTCAATTTTGAAAAACGACCAAAATTGTTTTTTTGTTTTGGTTTTTTGGCGCAGGCTAGGTGCAGATTACACTTATTTTGGCGAAATGTAGCAGGATGTAGCAGGGTTAGCCCCTTGGCGCAGTTTGGCGTTATTGGGGCAGCAATCACATCACTGTGATCTGTTCTAACACCACCAACTTTCTTTATATTCCTCCTTAAATAAAAACATTATTTTTCTTCTGGAAGCTTTTTCACACCAATAAGAGACAATGAAATAAATGAAATAGTTTCATTGTTTCAGGACCCCCATTGGTCAGACTTTCCCCGTTCGTCTCGGGGTATCTGCAAAGAAACAAAGGGCGGAAAGAGGGCGACTCACCAGGACTCTGGATGTATAGGCACTGTTCACCGCTATCCCATGAATGATTTTCTCGGCCACGGCCGATGGCAGGCTTTCATATCGTGGGGTTGACTTGTGCTGGACGCCTGCAGAAAACAACCGGAGTTCTTAGTCAGGCGTGCGTGATTTCAAGCGCTAACATGTCTTGACACCCTTCTTGAGTAACACAGATGACGGCTGGAGAAAGGGTGAGCCCAGCATAAAGCAGCATCAGCTGCAGAATGGCCAATGTTGACAACTCTAAAATTATCACAACTTCTCTTTCAATGACCAAAAGACAACACAACACAGCTGCCCTGCAGTTCTGGCTCTCAATATTTCTGATATTTCTTTTTCCAAAAACTTAGTGGCACAAGGAGTTCCGCCGTTTAAAAGCACCCCTTCCTGAAGAAAGGTAACCTCGTTTTTAGTGTCACTTCAGTAACAGGCAGGCAACTCATACAAAATGGAAAAATGTTGTGACACGAGCAAGCATGTGGTCCATTGTCGTTAGACAAGCCAGAAAGGGTTGCACGAAACACTTACCGCAGATGTAGCTTTGGACAACAGTCATTCGGTTGGTAGTAAGCGTCCCCGTCTTGTCCGAACAGATTGCTGTAGCATTACCCATCGTCTCGCAGGCATCTAGGTGACGTACTAAATTGTTATCTTTCATCATTTTCTGAAAGAAAAAAAACACACACCATGTCATGAAATGTTTAGATATATAATACAGTCAACTTGATCCACAATCTCGTAGCATTCAGTTCCCAACCTAAACACGCCGTCATGAAACGAAAAAAGACATGCAACTAAGTACCGAAGAAACAAAGCAGCCTGTCATGCATGTGGCATGCACGAGGCAGCGGATTCAGCGCGCGCCGTCGCCGACGGGTTATCGTGCTTTGTGATTGTTATATTTTTGTTACCCGTGGTGTGCGCTGATTGGTGCGACGAGAAAAAGACGAAGTGACGACGAAAGGACCGAGGCTGGAGACTGTGCACGCGGAGAGAAAAGGAACGCGGTGCGCTGGAGCTGGTGCAAGCACGACTTCGAACCGGAATAAAACGCTTTCCCCCCAAAAGGCTGGCTCCCTGCCTTCCCGGGTCTCACGGCGCCCAAACCACAAGCCGTGACTGGCGCAGTCGACAGGATGAGTTCAGCTACGGAACCTTGGGATGAGCGGCCAGCTCCAACACCGCACAGACGTCGCCGAGTTCAAGTAAGCCCGGATTTTTGCCTGCCACAACCGACGGAGCGGTGGGTCCGGCATACTACACGGACGTTGCCAGTCCAAGCAAACCAGGCTTTTCGTCTACCATATGCGACGGAGCGGCGAGTCCGGAGCACAGCACGAACGGTGCTGACAGCAAGCAAACTCGGCTTTTCGGCGGCCATGCAACCGGACGCCAGGCGAGCGCTTAGCGTGACCAGTGGGACGGACGCTGCATGACGCAGCCTCAGCGCAAGAACCAACGGCGGAAAACAAGACTTCCAGTCTTCGAGAGGGACAGGAACTACAGCCTGCAAGCGGTAGAATCCGGATTTCAGTGATGCACGGACCCTGAGACATTCCAGTTAGGCACTTCCGCTGCCAGTGCTTCTGACTGCCCATCGACGACGAAGAGCTGATCAACCTGAATTGGTGAGCGCATATGCTTGTCTATTTGGGTTGAATGATCACTCGAGCCATGGCGAAGAGCTATGAGTCGGGCAAAGGGGAGGGTAAAATGCCTGATAAACTTAAAGAGCCGGATGACGCATCAGAGGATGAGGGGAGAACTGATTCTGAAGTGATGAACACTCGGTTGGAAATTGAAAAAATAAAGCTCGAACAAATACGGGCACAAATTGAGCTCCAAAAATTGCAGAAGGAAAATGGTGGTGGTGCAGATGGGGGGCTGGGATTACAACCAGAATCTGGGGTAGCCCACTATGCTGCACTCTTGACTAATGTGCTCAGCCGGATGCCCGGGGACAAAACCTTGGTGCCTGGCTGGTTTGAGGCGGTAGAAGTCATATTTCGATCCTTTCAGGTCCCTGACGAAATAAAAACTGTTCTGATAATGCCGTATATAGCTGACAGGGTCAGGTCAGCGATCATGTGCAGTGGCATGAAGGAACTGCCATCCTACGCTCAGCTAAAAGAACGAATTTTACGTGAGCTAAGATTATCTCCAAACGAATACAAACGACTATTCACAACGGCAGGCAAATTGCGGGAAGAGTCCTGGAGCCAGTTCGCCGGCCGACTTAATAGCTGCTTCAGTTATTATGTGAACAGTAGAAAAGTGGATACGTACGATGACCTGTTGCAACTAGTTGTCGCGGATAGGTTGAAGGAGTCCCTCCCTAATGAAATAAAAGCATATGTTGCCTTGAACGAAACGGGGGAGTGGCTGCGTCCTGAGGCGATAGCTAAGCTCGCTGAATGCCATCAGGAGAGTAATGCACAGAGGGTCCCAAAACCCTATCACAAGACAGACACTACTGGTGACTCTAGTCAGAGCGAGTCTATGACGCCTCCGAAAGAGAGAGGTCATACTGAGTATGTCGGCGACACTCGACGCTGTTTCGCTTGTGGGAAACAGGGTCATCTGGCAAGAAATTGCCCTGAGACCAATCCTAAGCTAACGGCACGAGTAAAAAGACCTTTAGACTGCGAACACGCCGAGCAATCAATCGAGGTACATGATGAACTAGTATCACTGACTGAACAACACGAAGTGCTTGACGAAGAACGATTTGTGCAACTCCGCTCAGGAGACAAGCGCTTGAATGCTAGGGTCGATTCGGGGGCAGACATTACAGTGGTTCGAAGGTCGATGGCCACCATTTTGGACGAGAATCAAAAAGGGAAGGTTCGGTTGAAGGGCGCTTTCGGCCACGAGGTGGAGGCCGATCTCATGTATGTCCCGTTTCGACTTGGTAGCAGGGCGTTTGATACTGGAGTGGATACTTTACTGCTCTGTGCTGTAACCGAGCAGCTTGCCGGAGAAGTTGACGCGCTACTCACACCTGAGGATTTAGTAGCTTTAAGAGAAGTAGAACAGAAAGTGCCCTTAGTAGATCAGGTGGATCTTCCCTGTGACGCTGCAGTATTGAAGGAAGGGCTGGTGATAGAGGCATGCGTGGCGAGCACCCAGTCGGAGGGTGAAAACGGGATTGTAGAGTCTGTGGACGAGCGAAGTGACGTAAACGAAATAGAATCTGAAGGTTGCCTTCAGTTTCGAACAGAGCAAAAGAACGACGAGTCGCTGAAGCCCTTGTGGCTACAGGCAAAAAAAGGGACTCATGGAATGCAAGTGGTTGATGGAATGCTGTTCCATAAAGAAAAAATAAATGGCAGAATTGTCAAGCAGCTAGTTTTACCGGAAAGCAGGCGGAAGACAGTGTTAGAAGTAGCCCACGACAAACCAGTTGGCGGGCATTTCGCTGGAAAGAAAACGCAACAGCGAATTAAGAATTCATTTTACTGGCCGAACATGCAGGAGCAGATTAGTAAATACTGCAAAGATTGCCATTACTGCCAGTTGAACGCGAGACCTAGAACCAGAGACCGTGTGCCTATTACCCGCTAGTAAGACCAGATGTTCCATTCCAGACAGTTGTAATGGATTGTATTGGACCGTTAGACCCGGCGTCGTCGAGGGGGCACAAATATGCCTTGTGTCTGGTTGATGTGTGCACGAGATGGCCAGAAGTGGTTTGTATCAGATCGCTAACGGCGAAGGCAGTGTGTGACGCGCTGGTTGAAATATTCGCGCGAATGGGAGTGCCAGAAACAGTCTCGTCCGATCAGGGCACAAACTTCACGGCCGAGCTCACACAGGAGTTGCTGCATAGGTTGGGGTCGTCACCCAGGTTCTCTACACCAGAACACCCAGAGAGCAATGGGCTAGTTGAGCGATGGAATGGTACGCTGAAGCGGATGTTGAGGCAAGTGATAGCGGAACATGGGCGGGGCTGGGATCGCCTAGTTCCTTGTCTACTTTGGGCCTACCGCGAAGTCCCGAATGAAACTACAGGGATGTCGCCATTTGAACTCATGTATGGACGTGCGCCGAATGGTCCACTGTCCATCCTAAAAAAATCGTGGACTGGTGATTGGACGCCCCCGTCCACGCTCGTTGAGTCGGCGGACAAATATCTGGTTAGATTAAGAAAACAAATGGCCGACATGACGCGAGTAGTAAAGGAACAGGCAGAGCACAAACAGAGGTCGTACGCCACGCGTTACAATCTCCGTGCGAAAGAGAAGGCCTTTTGTAGGGGCGATCTAGTGCTACTAAGGGACACGAGTGGTAAAAAGATGAACTTTCCTTGGTTGGGACCAGCGAAAATACTAGAGGTTAGGAGAAAGAACAGCTACGTAGTTGAGATGCCTGACGGTGGCCGTAAGTGGATCCACGCCAACAAACTTAGGCCATATGTGGCACGCGTTGACGCTGTTGGTGTTATCTTTGATGATCCGGACTTCGGTTCGGTGGAGGAACTCCCCACAGACGGGAGGGGAGCAGGTGAACCTGAATCACAGAAAACCGCGGAGGAAAAAGAGATGTACAGCATGGTACAGCAGTTCGTACATGTCTTTTCTAAGCGCCCAGGAAAGTGTGCAAAAGGACTGCACAAGATAAGACTTGTTGAAGGCTCGCAACAAAAGAAGAGATATGCTTATAGGGTGCCGATAAAACTGAGAGCTGAGGTTGAAAGGCAGATAGAACAGCTTCTAGAATGGGGTATGATCTATCCAGTTGAATCAGAGTTTGCTCATCCGGTAGTGTGTGTAGCGAAGAAGGATGGGAGTGTGAGATTGTGCATCGATTATAGGCAATTAAACGCGATCACTGAAGTCGATGCCTTTCCAATGAATAATGCTACCGAAATGATCTGGATGGTCGCGAAGGCGTCGTACATAACAGTACTGGACCTAACCCGTGGGTATTGGCAAATACCAGTCGAAGAACGGTCTCAGAAGTTCACAGCATTCGTAACCAATCGTGGGCAGTACGCATGGAAAGTTATGCCCTATGGGTTGAAAAATTCAGCGGCAACTTTTCAGCGTGTGATGAATGAAGTGTTGCGACCACACAGAGAATATGCAGGCGCATATATCGATGACATTGCAATATATTCTTCTAAGTGGGAAGACCACCTTTTGCATGTAAAAGGCGTTCTCGAAACCTTAAGTCGCGTGGGGCTTACGGTGAAGCTGTCCAAATGCAGGTTTGCCCAGGGAATGGTGATGTACCTCGGCCACCAGATCGGCTCTGGGAGGCATGCTCCTGACCCCGTTCGTATCAAGGCGATTCAGATCATGGAGAGGCCAAAGACGAAGAAAGAACTGAAGAGCTTTTTAGGGCTAATGAACTACTATAGAGACTACATTGCGAACTATGCTGAAGTGGTGTTGCCGTTGACCGCTCGAACTGGAGACAGGACACCGAACGTGTTACCGTGGGGTGACGAGGAGGAACAAGCGTTTCAAAAGGCAAAGTGTCTCCTGATGGAAGTCCCAGTCATGAGAGCGCCAGATGCCAGCCAGCCTTTTGTTCTGTCCACCGACGCATCGGATAGAGCTATAGGGGCATGTCTTGCCCAAAGGGCAGGTGATGGGAAAGAGTACCCGGTGGCGTTTCTCAGTAAAAAACTAACTGATCCCCAAACCCGGTGGGCTGTAATCGAACGCGAAGCTTACGCGATTGTGTGGGCCTTGGGTCAGTTGGAAACGTGGCTATTTGGGGCGGAGGTCGAAATTCGCACCGACCATAACCCTTTGCAGTATTTGGCGTCAGCAGCACCAAATAGTGCGAGGCTGACTCGTTGGGTGCTAGCGTTGCAAAAATTTAACCTGAATGTCCAGTACGTAAAAGGGACGAGAAATGTCCCTGCTGATGCGTTGTCAAGGCTGTAGCCGGGTGGAGTTTTGTTTGTGGTTAATGTACTTTAGATGTTCTCAAGAAATTTGTCAGTCTTTCTAGTGATCATTCACGCCGAATGGATGGGAATGTGCGCGCAGTTCGTTTTCTTTTGTTCTAAATGTTACGATTGTAAAGGAATACACAAATTGTGATTTTTTTATTGGAAAAGAAGAAAAAAAAGGGGGGGGGGGGGCGTGTCATGCATGTGGCATGCACGAGGCAGCGGATTCAGCGCGCGCCGTCGCCGACGGGTTATCGTGCTTTGTGATTGTTATATTTTTGTTACCCGTGGTGTGCGCTGATTGGTGCGACGAGAAAAAGACGAAGTGACGACGAAAGGACCGAGGCTGGAGACTGTGCACGCGGAGAGAAAAGGAACGCGGTGCGCTGGAGCTGGTGCAAGCACGACTTCGAACCGGAATAAAACGCTTTCCCCCCAAAAGGCTGGCTCCCTGCCTTCCCGGGTCTCACGGCGCCCAAACCACAAGCCGTGACTCAGCCTCTCTGAACTTATAACAATCCTTAGGCACAATCAGCCAACAATCAAGACCTCAAGTGTTCACAGGGTTGGTAGACTAAGACACCAAATTGCATGTCCCATGAGTGCTTCAGTAAGCAGCCCTTCATTCAATGGAGCTGCCTTCATTGCATCGATAATGATTGACGAATCATCGAAGAAATCAGAAAACTTAATTTCTAGCAGTACAAATAGTCAGGGGTGGAACTCATGAAATGTACTTGGGAGCAGCCACGGGAGCAGCTGAAACAGCTGTTTTGGAGCAGGTTGGGAGCAGGTTGGGAGCAGCTAAAACTACATTCTGGAGCAGGCTAGTAGCAGCTCAGATCAGTTTGCATTGCACTTCAGCTTGTATCTTAGACAAGCACGAAAGCAATTTCAATTGTGCTTAGCAGCAGAGATGAACATGAGCGGTTAGGGACCTAGGTAGAGGGGATAACAGTGTAATATATGCGAAAACTTGAATCTTTGTGAGCTTTAATGAGAATCAAACAGCAAGTACTCTATGTTTCTGAAGATAGCGTCTTTGATATTTTCTGAGTGGCCTTCAGACGCTCAAGATGCAAACCAGCTCTGCTTATCGCACAACCCACACGTGCTCGACATAGTAATTATATGTGCGAACCACGTGACGTGCGTAAGCAACGGACGTGCAGTTGCACGGAGGAACAGGGCAACAAATTTCGAGAGTTTATCCTATTGTGCAACTCGATATCGAAGCAGCAGACTGCGATTAACGAAGTTATCGTATTTGAAGCGATAAGCAGGAGCGAGGTTAATGCACGCCGAGCAGAGTAGAGCTGCTGACCGGCAAGGTTTCGGATTGGACCGCGTTTCAGTTCTATCAAATCACGATTTATCTTGCAAGAATGCGGTTCCAACTCCTAACGATGAAGCACTAAAAGGAATATTTTGCTCATTTGCTTTCGACTGGATGACGTCCGGATCCCGGGCCGCAGAGCCTCGTGCAATCTGACGCTTAACGACTCGACCTCACCTCGGCCTACTTGGCCTACCGCTTATGGTTGAAGAGTAACAATCCAGTCGCAGGTGGTGTAGCGCTTAGAATCCGAGTTTTTTCACGCGCTTCCGACTCGGGATAGACAAAGGGAATAAACAGAACAAGGGATTGCAAGGCCGACCAGGCTAAACGCCCTCATTGTTGACAATCGAGTCGATAAAAACCGAAACCAAGACAAAATAAAACTTTTTTTCGGCGCACGTTTTGCGATTTGGCGCATAATGGCGCGAGGTATTGGCTGTGGCGCAGTTTCTGCAACATGGCGCGGGATGGCGCAGACACATACGTCTGGCGCAAAATGGCGCAAATGGCGCAGCCGTTCCACCCCTGAATAGTAGATTCCATTTAGTTCTTCCACACTGCCGTCGCGTATTTCCCGCCGTTTCCTCGTCGCAATTGTATCATTTGCATCGCAAAAAGTGGAAGGGTGCGACGACACGATTGACGCGACACCGGTGGCACGAGGTAGCTCAACGGTGCTTGTAATGCGTCTCTGACTGGCGCATTCACTGTACTGTCCCTCCCGTGCAACGGAAATCGTCCCAGAGTGCCAACAAATTACATCGCAGGAGCCGGTGTGTCACGCCGTTGAATGTCGCAATCCCGGCTGTCAATCGTAAAAATGCCGGCAAGAAAGGCAAGGGGAGGAGAGGGTCGCTGCCGCCGCCGCCCCCGCGACGTTCCGTCTCGCATTTGCTTCGGTTTCGGCCAACCATCTGGCTGCAGCTCGACCTACACACGGACGTAGGAAGTTTCTGAAGGCGACGTGATGCCACCAGAAGTTAAGCCGGAAGTGTGGAGGATGTCTGAGGGTGACCAAAACAGCTGCTGGCGCCGAGTCGGCTCTCCTTTTCGTCCAATAGCGTCTCTTGGCTTTGGTCGTCGCTGGAGACGCGTTCCTCCACAGTTCTGACTTCACCTCTGGTGGTCTCGTGTCGCCTCCAGAGGCTTCTCACCTACCTCCGTGGATCTACGGCAGAATGGGAATCCCCCGGAACCATCTCTGCCGCTGCGTCACCGCCGGGATCATGACGGGTGACGGCACAACGCTTCTACGTTGTCGGGTGGAAATCGGGGGACCACTTTTTTGGGTGTGGTAAACACGCCGGTCAGAGACGCATTCCGGGTGGCACTAGGCGTGGAATCGGGAGGGCGAGATGGTGTGGCACCTTGACAGAATAGGCGAGGGAGAGGGTGACAGCCAGTGGAAGACCTTCGGGGACGGCCACCACGAGGACGGTGACGCCGATGATGAAGCAGTTGACGATGTGCTGCGTGTCGCTGCTCCTCCAGGGTCGGGCCTCCACCACAAACACCTCGATGAGGTGGCGCACCACCAGGATGATCACCGTCAGCACCGCTATCGTCGATCCTGCAAGGCGTCCATGCAACGCGGTTGACACCTTCCGCTAAAAACGTTCAACGGACGTTCATGTTTTTTTATTTGTTTTCTGCATTGTGTACCTACTACTCCGTGCACGGCACACGGTTAGTACCTGTCATGAGAAATAAACAGATTGATAGATGGATGGATGGATTATACCCTTTGCAATGGGCAGTAGCTTGCACCACCTAGCCTAACATTTCATTTCGACTTCCCTTCTTTTTTTAAAATTTGTATAAATTTCCTTCTAAAAAAACTCCCTCTCCCCCCCCCCTTTTCAAAGTGTTTCCATTGCTTATTTTTATCTGCATTTTTACTCCTCCCTAGATCTTTCCCACGCATCTTCGAATCTCCTTTGAGTTACCGCAATCTTCACTTATCCATTCGTCCATCCATGTCTGCAAATCCCAGCACCCCCCAAATCTGTAGCCATCCCCACCAAGAGGGTGGGACGAAGCCTCGTGCAGCTTGGAACTACATGTTCTATAGTTTCCCTTTTGCGGTTGCATATGTTGCATATGTCGCATACAGTGCCCATTTCCTCGAATTTAGCCCTATGTTTTCGTTCTTAGCACCCCCCGCGTTCTAGCTTCAAACAGCAATGAGCTCCCCAATGAATTATCATACAACTGTTCCTTCTTTATTTCTTCTTTTCATGCCCTGTCTATTGTTAAAGCTGATTTTCCCTGCATTCTCTCTTCCCACAATTTCCTCTCAGTTTCCTTTACTCCGTTTTCTATCGATATGCTTTGATCGGCCCCATCTCGTTAAATGTATTTAGATCTCAGCTTACGGGTTCGGTTTGTCCACTTATTTTAGACCTTTCATATAAAGATACTTGTACACTTTCCCTGCCCATTGTGTATCCTCAATTTTAGCTAGTCTTAGTTGAAATTTTACTTGACTGATTGCTTCTCTACTCTCAAAAGATGCCCAACCCACATCCCCCTGTACTCCCTCATTTGGTGCATTCCCATGTGCTCCCAATGCCAACCTACCCACACTCCTTTGCCGCATCTCTGAACCTGCCTGGATTTCAGACCTCATGCACAATACCACATTCCCAAGTGACAGTCCTGACACCATGACCAGAGGTCGGCATTTTAGGTCGCCCTCACTCACCCTCACCCTCACAGCCACATTCACCTAAGCCCCTCACTCACCCTCACCCTCACAGCTACACTCACGTTCAGCCGCTCACTCACCCTCACCCTCACAGTCACACTCACCCTTCAGCCCTTCACTCACCCTCACTGAACCTCATGGCCCTCACGCACTCACCGCACTCACGGCCCTCACGCCCCTCACGGCCCTGACGGCCCTCACGCCCCTCACTCACTCATGGCCCTCACGCCACTCACCACCCTCACGCCACTCACCGCCCTCACGGCCCTCACGGCCCTCACGGCCCTCACCGCCCTCACGGCCCTCACCGCCCTCACGGCCCTCACGCCACTCACCGCCCTCACGCCACTCAGGCCAGCTTCAGATGGGGCAATTTCGGCCAGAAACTTTACGTCGCAACACCAGCAACACGCGCCGCCCGCGATCACACGCAGCAACCAATTGCTGCAATTTGCCATCGTCATCATAAACTTTTATTTTTCTTGCACTATTTAGACACAATTACGCGTTACAAACGCGTAATTGTGCATTTAAATCCCGTTAAGAATACTAATGCACCTTTCTGAAACAGTTTATTTCCAAAAAAACAATTGACTTCAAACGAGAACCAAGTCTTTCGGTGTCATCATCACCGGCACGAGGTATCACGTGAAAATTTTGCGTCCCTGATTGGATGCAGCCGCTTCAAACGTATTCGAATTGCTCCGAGTTGCTTGCTTATTTCGAGCCGGACCCGATCTCAGCAATTCATGTCGATCTAGGGAAAGCTAGAGAACAACCCGTCATTAACACCAAAATTGCTGAGAAAGATGCTTGATCTGAAGGGGGCCTCACGCACTCACCGCCCTCACGGCCCTCACACCACCTCATGCACTCACCGCCCTCACGGCCCTCATGCCTCTCATGCCACTCACCGCCCTCACACCACTCATGGCCCTCACACCACTCACGCACTCATGGCCCTCACGCCACTCACCGCCCTCACGCCCCTCACGCACTCATGGCCCTCATACCCCTTACCGCTCTCACCGCCCTCATGGCCCTCACGGCCCTCACTCATCCTCACACTCATGCATTTTCCTACTTCAGAAACTCACTCACCCTCACCTCACCTGTGAAGATGAGAGTGAGTGAGGGTGAGTGAGGGCCCTCATGAGTGAGGTTTGCCGAGGTATGACCATGACACCCTTTCATATACCCCTAACAACTTCATATCTATTATAGTTCCAGAGTGCCCTGTGTTTCATAATAGCTGAATCTCATTTTCCCTACTTTATTACAATATCTTCATGTTCTTTTAGACACCTTCTCTCAGTTAACCACACTCCCAGATATTTCTACTTCTCTACATGTTTTACCATTGTGTCCTGTATCTCCAGGGGTTCCCCCTGGATATACCGGGCACAGTGATATTGCCCTTCATGCACATGTTCAAGATTTCTTTTTTTTTAACATTTTCTTGCATGACACGCAATTAATGCCTTTCGTAAGGAATGCTTAACGCATGCTCATGATCAAGTTTTGTATTTTTTACATTGTATACCACACTGCGTACAGCACACGGTTAGCACCTTTTGCAAGGAACATTGACCCCAAGTTGACTTCTTACTTTTTCAATTTTTTACATTGTTTTTTGCGCTCCTGCTATGGCTTTCAGTAAAGAGCCAAAGTATAATAGTTAAATAAATAAAATAGATAAACGTGGTTACCCATAGTAGCATATGGCACACGTTTTCAAAACTGCGAAGCGGTCTTCTGCAACAGGAAGCGGACGGTGGTCTCTACCGTCCTTACAACCAACGCCTGTGCAGCCAAGCCGGTTTCAAGTAAATGCTATATTCGAGTACTCTTTAATAGATTCCCAAAGTGCAGAATGGCAATCCTCACTAGTATACTACCTATTTGTTATCCTTGTGCAATCATTCATACTGCAATATTTCAAATTTAAAACTATTTCACATTTGTCGGAAAAAGAAGTACCGTAATATCCCGAGTCATCGCCCATCCCCGAGCCATCGCCCACCCCATTTTTGGGGCCAATCTCGATTTCCGGAAAAACACCGAGTCATCGCCCACCCCTTCAAATACCCCAGCGCGGACTCTGGGATCCGCGAACACTCATCCTACCCGAATGACGCGGCCGCGGGCCTTACAGTTGAAGGACGTCCGTGACAAAGTGAAACGAAGGAGGGAAAGACACTTTTTTTTGTTTACGCATTTCCTCCGTGAGCGACCCCAAAGTGGTCGTGTATCCGTGCGAAAAGAAAACGATGGAGATAACAAAATAAGAGTTTGTTAACGTAACCGCGGAGTGTTAGGTCAAAGTCTGTCTCCGCCGAAGTAAGGTCACCACGAACCCGCTCCTTCTTCCCGCCCGTCGCGACCGCTGTTGTGCAATATTTTAGGCAAAGCCAAAGCGTAAATAAAGCTTTGCTGGAACGTCCTACACAGACGTTTACAGAGCGTCCCAACCGTGCATTGATAGCCCGCCGTTCACGTTCACGGACGCACGTATGTACGCACCAAACAAGAAAGTTGCGCAAGAGCTTGCAATTGACAAGGCGCCCGACTTGGCCCGACGCCAAAGTATTTGCCAACGTGACCACCGGCGTTCCCGCTTTCCCAGCATTGCTCTTGGTCGCCTTTGGTCCGCTCGCTCGCTCGTTGCGCCTGGTCGGTTTTTCTATTTTCTTGTAGACTTTTCTCTCTTTTTTTTACTAACTGGGAAAACATAATGGTGACATTCTTTCACGGAACAAACGTTCGTGCTATATGCAGATCGGCGGTGTTTCTAGCGCGTATGCAAGCAACGGACTTCGCTATAGTAAAATATTCTTTCGTGAGCATTTTTTTCTATAAAACAATGAAACTAAATCGAGTTTTGAGTTTGATGTATCTCTTGCGCATCAGCGCTAGATACGCAGAGAAAAATAGGCGGTTTTTTTCGCTTTTTTTCAAGTGTTTGTGCTCACCCACCGAGACATGGCCCACCCCACTTTTTTAACGAATTTCAGGCGGTTGGGGGGTGGGCGATGACTCGGGATATTACGGTATATGAACATACATATATTTAATCAAATTTAATCACCAACATATAAGCTTCTTTTTACAGCATCAATACCGCGTCATCCAAAGAAAAAGAAAAAACTTTGTCTTCTATTTTACTTATCAGAAAAAAAAAAATTTTTTTTTAAAAACCATTAGCGCAATATATTGGTGCCGTACCATGCTGCATATACCGCTGCTTGTTTCCCACTCTGATATTCAGATCTTAAATACTGTCGAGACCGGTTATAACGAAATCAACGGAAATCTGATATCACTTCGCTATATCCGCTATTAGGGGCGAAGCTCCTTAGGGTCTAGCCTTTTCCGTCCGGCATCCGTGCTCACATCGGTTGCCATCCCATCTGTCTTCTTAAAAAAAGAAAAAAATGTTTGCGCGGTCGACAGGATTCGAACCTGTGCGGGGAGACCCCAATGGATTTCTAGTCCATTGCCCTAACCACTCGGCCACGACTGCGAGACGGGTAGGGGGCTCTGAGATGTGGTAGTAACTCAAGAGCTGGGGATGTCATGGATGAAACGTTGCATGTAGCCGCTCAACGTCTATACAGGAGAGGGCGCTGCGGTCAAATGCTCAACTGCGTATATAACCACGATCCATACCAAAAATTCTCTTTTTGACATGGACCGTTGACTTAAGCGGTGGAGATGCGTTCCCACGGCTTCTAGCGGATCCAAGCTGATCCATTAGAAGAACCACTGGCTCTGCATTTCACCGACCATAAAGCAGTAATAATGAAGCCTAAACGCAACCCAGAACTCAGCACTACCTATGAGCAATAAAAAAAAAAAAAAATCAGCACAATCAGCACTACCTATGAATAAAATCAGTATCATTAGCACCACCAGAGCTTTGCCCCAATCAAAATCATTCACCACGTGGAGATGCGGTCATTTTTTTCGTTATAACCGACTTCGGTTAACTAAGTGCAAAAGGAAACGGGACATTGTGATCGCTTCGCTGTAGTTGCTATTTCGTTATAATTGACTTTGTTATAACCGGTCTCGACAGTAGTATAATATTTTAAGAAAGAATTACCACAAAGGACAGAATGAAAGATGTGCTGTCCGCGTTCTGTCATTTATGCGCGATTCTTTCGCAAAACTTTATACAATGTCAATGGGCTCACCCTAAAAAAAAAAAAGAAAGAGAGAAGTATATTCTTACTACAAAATTACCAAACCGGTGCCCACCCATAATTTGTGAATAACCTCGAGACACTGGAGAGATGGGCGCTCATTAGGACCGAAAACAAAAATGCAGAAAGAGACACAAGGCAGGGTGGTCTTCGCCACTTTGCACCGGAACGATTGGAAAAGCTGCCAATGCAGGGGAGCGTCTCTGTTAACCGAGTGAGCTTGAAAGCCCAGGGCGGGTGCTTGACAAGTCCCCCGCTTATTATGTGCACGCTTCGCAAATAGCAGGTGGGCACTTATTGCGACGCAGGCGTGGCTTATTACGTTCACGCTCCATGCTTCGTTCTCCGGCGTTCTTATCGGCCAGTGCCGCAATCTCGTTGGCTGCAGAGCGGTAATGAAATGCTCGCCACGCCCTACGCTTCTGGAGTTGTCTCCGACTACAACGCGTGCGACTCACGTACCAACGTAGCCAATTTGAATGGCCAGCTTGGTGAGCTTGGCCTGCAGCACGGACTTCTCCTTGCGGGGGTTTGCTTCCTCGTGGGTCGCGCTCGCTGGGACAATGGAGTCCGCCCGTGCGGGCTCCAGGTGGGTGTTGGCAGTGATGTTGCCCATGTGCGAGTTGCCGGACATGGCCGCTTCTTCGTCTGCTCCCAGAAGGCGTCAAGCACCCAGGCGGAGGGAGAAAGAAACGCACTTTAGGCATCCAAAGCTTGCGCAAGAAAGAGCGCTGCTAAAGCCATGTCGAGAGGAGCCGAGCAGTCGAGCTTTGCCGCACTCCGTTTCGACGTCTGTGGCGTGTCGATTGGGGCCCTCAAATCGCAATCGCTAGTCTGACAACAAAACATTTACCGATGCTCAGAATTCTGTACGCCGTTTGTCACCTGGCCCCCCAAGCCGTCGAGTTATTTGGTGAATGTGAACTGTCGATAAATTTGATTGGATCAGGTAAAACCAACGGAAGAAGTCACTGGCACGAATCATACCACTTACCTTGTGAGCATTCAATGATGTAAGCATTCAATGTGGAGTACTAGTTGCATTTTACATTACTTTTGTGACAGAAGAGTAAGCGCAAAAGCGAGCCGGTTACACTTATGTATACGGATCTTGCGAGCCTGTTGTGTTCGCATTTTCCTCGCCTTGAGTCTTATCTGTGTTCCCGTGTGCTTTTTTATTTCATTTTATTGTTTTAATTGCGGGACAGTAGGCTCGTACAATTTACCTGCACCACCTACACCGTTGCAGAAAAGTGTAAGGGAGCATACTTCCAGTATGTGTATTAAGGGGGAACACTGGTCTTGGAGCTTTTTTTCTTGTTTTATGACCAAACCGAATGAAATTACACAAGCTTGTTCAGTTTCTTGTGCTGATTTCATATATCTGGTAATTTCCTAAGTCAGAAGAATTGTCCTCAAGATATTTAAAACTTGCCTGCCTTTGTTTGGAGGAACGATAGGGAAAAAACTGCTTTACAAAATATCCTTTTTAACAAATGGCTAGATACTACGAAGTGTAGAGAATACAATGTTAGAAATACTTTTAAGATAAACCCAATATTAGTGATTTTACCACACATTGAAGTTCAGTGCTCAATGCATGGCTAACAAGTATTAAAACAAAAGGTCAAATAGAAAATTTTTTAGACTTATATTAAAAAATCTGCTCTCAACATCGTATGCTTCACACATTTAGCTACACATTTCAGGAGAGGTTATATTTCTATCTGCTCTAGGTGCTGGGATATCCCTCCGGCAAATTTTCAACAAGTCCAAAAATTGTGTTTTGTGAAAACAATGTTTTAGAGTTAACTTCAACGCGCAATCAGCCCGCATAGACATTATAAATTGATTTATAGCTCAAATATTCATCTACGAAATTAGAAGTCTAGTAGGTTCAGAAGAACAACAGCCATCGCCATTTTCAAAAGACTGCAGTTTTAGGCAGTTTTTGGCTCCAAACACCCATGTCCCCCCTTAAGATAGGATTGGAAGTACACTGCCCTACACTTTTCTGCAAAGGTGCAGGAAGTGCAGGTAATTCAAATGAGCCTACTGTTTCCCGAATGCATACTGCTTAATTGCAAACATCTGCACATCTGGTAAATGTCCTTTTTTGTTTCTTTTTGCCTGTTTTGGTCAGAACTTTACTTCATGTCAGTTTACATCATCATACATAAACTGAGAAAAGGCCTCAGTACACTTCATTACCCTTTTTCCCTTTTCGTACTGTTGTAATTTCGTAATTTCTTCAAAACACTCAGTTGGGCAGTTTGCTTGTGCAATTTCTGAAGTTTCTTTGAAACTGAGTGTGGCAATACAGAGAGCTTCAAAGTGCATTAACCTTATTAATGAAGACTGCCATTTGACAGCGCAACAAATAATTCCATTCCTACGTACACTGATCAAACACTAAAGGCATTTCTGGAAAAAGCTAACAGGACAAGCAATTATAACTCACCAAACAATCAGAAAAATTAAATTAAAAGATTTTGCCTCTATGGTGAAATGACATGTATATACATTACGTTATCTGCAGCATTTCATTTCCATCGAGCATTTTAGCACCCTGTTCTTTCTATGAAAACATAAATCCACAGCACAAAACCAAATTCAACCAACGGTAAAAATATTCTATCAAAGCTAGAAGCAAATCACAACACAATTAGCAATACACTGTTTATGCTACGCAACGAAGAAATCAAGATTTAAGCCGGCACCTGGTGTAAAAGGACAAATGAAATTTGAAAGCAAGTTTGATCAATTCCTCCATGCCCACATGCATGTAGCCACAGGCAGCCAACTAAGCCAACTACAGTGGGTTAGTGGTGTCACCTACAGGCAGAAAAGTGCACAAATCATCTCCCCCCCCCCCTCTCCCAAAACATTTATGATTTTCTCCAAGCAGCAAGTCAGACAAAGCTACACAACAAAATCCAAGGCTGTTAGAGAAAACAGCTTTTTAAAATGCAGGCATTTAACACTTTGAGTGCCAAGAACATACCTAGTATACGCTTATTTAGTGAGACTTCGCACAAGACAAAGATGTAAATTCATGTCAAACTTTCCTGCAAGCGTCATAAATGTGTGGCAGGGTGCCAGAGCGAAGGCAGTGGATGTAGGTGCTCCGATGAGAGCTCAACACATGGCGACACATCACGAGGAACCCAACGCCAATTTTCCAGAAACCAACGAGCACACTGTGCACTAGTGTGGAATGGTCAGCTGTCTCTTAGTATGTGCAACTAGGAACAAGGCCTTCACATGTGCGGGTGTCTTTTATACCAGATTTCTGTAAATTTACACATTACAATAGTCACAGGACTAGAAATACCTTTCAATTGTGAGCTTCTTTCTGCACACAGCTTAGCAAGAAGCAAATTAAACGATTTTAGAAACGTGCTGAAATAGTAACTAGCCAACGAAATATTTGGGATCTCTATAAAACATCTAGTCAAAAGCATGAATTATCTGATCGTGAACTAATGAGAGCTTAGTGCATCGAAGATTTTCCAGGTGTGGACCTTCGGCGAGTTCTTTGGTACAAAGTTAAGTAATTTCAAGTACAAAATATACATAAAATCTCACTCCTCGTTACTCAATCCAGCTAATTTTCTTAAAACAGATTGAGTAGTAATTCTTGAATTCCTCACCACTAAGACTCAGAACCCCACTAACATTGACAGCCAAGAAAAATGGCAGGTACTCAAAGTGCTAAGGCAGGCTACGAAAGCTTGCAACGACGACCCCCAAAGACGGACACACACCACCTCACAGTGACGCGGCGGTACTTCCAAAGAACCGCCGTGCAAGCTGCAAGAGTGGAAAAAAATTTTGACAGTTCAGATCAAATGCAATGCCCGTGTCAGCGTGCTTTGGATCCGTGCCGTCCCACACCACCAGCAACCCAGTGGCAGTCAGAACCATACTACAGCAGGCATGTGGACGACCGCAAACGTTTCCGAACGGGGAACTGCGTAGCATTAATTGCCTACGAGCAGCATTACACAAAGGCTGTGGTGCTTCTCCTTCCAGCAGTCGGGTCCAGAGTTCCAAGGAAGGTGTGGAAGAAATAAAAAAATTTTAAAAAAGCGTGCGATGTTAGGGCAAGACAAAGGACAGAAAAGGATAGATGAGCGTAAAGGCCGGTTCATACATCTGGGTTGGACAGCGACTGAGTGCACCGAGATCTCGCCGTCTAGTACCGGGTGTCCCTGGAACTCCTTCCGACCTCCGTATATATTTTCATACATTTATTCACATAATTCTTTCTCCTTGTATATTTTACGAGCGACTAATTTCTCATAAACAATGTGAAGCTTTGATCTCGCAAACGCTACAAAAACCTTCGGTCTAGTTACAGACAGGTTGGAAGAGTTCCAGGTGTACCTCATAGATGCCACTAGCGTGCCAAGTAGTTAAAGGCCGACCCACAAGCAGGAAGGAGAAAACTCTCGCTCAGTTCCTTTTCATTACAGAAATAGAGACCCTCCTCCTTTCTGCTGAGAGTAGCTCAGAGACCCGCTCCTGTGGGGAGAGGAGGGAGAAGGGTGCGAGAGGGAATGAAGAGAAGGAAACTTGGAACTGGTTTTTTGCCCGGCAGAAGACGATTCTGTGGGTCGGCCTTTAAGAGAGATTACGGCGCACTTGGCTGCATTCAAATGCAAGTGCATGATCCAGCCTTAAAGGTGATTGAGATAGCTTACTTCCCATGCAAGACCATAAATAGAGAATGAAGCGACGCAAAAAAGAAAAAGGGAAGAACTGAGGACAAATAAATCCAGCAGTCTCTTTATACACTACCGTTTTGGTCAGACTCAGTGAGAGGCGACAACTCCTTTTCGCTCGCCGGAACGCTGCATGCTGGGATGATGCGGACACAACAATGTGGCAGCAAAGACAATGGGAGGAAAAAAAGGGGAAGGGAAAAAAAGAGGCCAGGTAAAGAAGCAAAACAAACAAACAAACTGCAATGAGCCAAAAAAAAAAAAGATGCAAAAATCGAAGGGGGCTTGTTGTTTCAGATTGTTTGAAATTCAGAAACGACACAATTCTGTTAGTTGCCTCCAGCACCGCCAAGCTTTACGTTAGAATTCGGTAAATATAAGTCAAACTGCTTTCCTTTTCAGTATGAATACCGGTGGTTATTCAAAATAAGAAAAAAAACAGGGCATGGTTATACTGAACCTGAGCCACAGAAGTTATATCAGAATACAGACAAAACTAGCTGCACAGGATTGCAAATAACTGAACTGCTGCTAGCTTAAAAATCATTTGAATATTAATGCAAGTAACGACCTAAATGTATTGTTTGTGCAAGTTGCCAATCGAAGACCTTTGAGAAAGTGGCAATTTTGTATGCTGTAATGCCCATTAATGCAAACGTATGGAACGTGGGATGCATTGGCAAACACAGCATCAGCCATCAATGCATTAGTCAAAACTACCCAACAAAAAATAATTGCCCCTTCAATGCTTCGGCGACCTTAGACAACACAAACGGCAATGCCCAAAACAAGCACACAAGGCAAAAAGAGGCAAGACCCACACACAAACAACCAAAAGCAGCACCCCCAAATGCAGAAACCACAGCAGAAAATGGCCGTCGACACAGGGACAAGACACTTTGACCAGCACAGACACACAAGCGAACAATCCTGTCGTAAAGGCTTAAAAAAAAGTGTGTTCCTCTTGTAGAAGCTGAAACTGAGCTTTAGGTAGGTGGAAGGGGAGGGACGCGGAAAGGACTTTGAGACAGACATTCTACGGCAGGCGGGGATAACACAAGCAAGGGATGTGGCAAGATGGCAAGACGGAGAGATGAGAGCCAAGGAAACAAACGAACAAGAAGAAAAAAAAAAGTAACGTGTGTGAAAAAGGTGTGGTGTTTTTGAGAGTGCACATAGAACGGAAGGGATTCATCACCTGGTTCACCTTTCTTCTTTCTACGACCCTTTTTAGCGTCTGGAGGGGACCGAACATAGGAGGGAGAACAGGGGAACAAACGGGGGACGAGGGAGGAGGAGAGAAAGAGAGAGAGAAAGGATCTGGTTAATACGGACACAAGAGACGCAAAGTCACGCCCGACGACTGCCCGGCCCTGCCAATGACTGGCTGAGGAGGCTGCGAGGTCCCAACGAAAGTGGCAAACGAAACGGCAGGGCTTTCTAGAAACAAGGGACAAACACCGAAGGTAGTGACAACATCACGAACAAAGAAAAACGTGTTAAAGGGTCACTGCAACGTTGCACGCAAGCTTGAGAACGGAAGAGTAATTTTTCGTCCTAATGCGTGACGATATCTGGGGAAGCTTAACGAGTTAAACATGCCATACGTACAACGGGAAACACAAAAACAAAGAAGTTTATCTAATTTTGTGATTGCTAAGTCAGTTTTAAACCGATAACAGGCGAGTAGCTGGGCCCCTTCAAATACTCCTTTGTGGCACGGTCTGGTGGCGTAGTTTAGTTTTACACTTGCTTCTTCCACTCAAAAATCGGTGCATGCAGCATTGAAAGGGCTGCTGGCATTTGGCCTCGGTGCAATATCACACTTAGGGTTGTAAAATTTAGGGCATGTGGCACATATACTTGTATACATTAAAGGGATGGTGAACCGAAATTTGGATTTCAGAAAAAACAATGCAGGAAATGTAGGCGGGATGCTACAATCCCTATACCACTACTTTAAGGCGATATCTCGAATGGATGGCCGTATTTTTGAAAAAAGAGGTCGAGATTGAACCAGGCCGACGAGCAAGTGACGTCAATATACCGAGTTTCCTCCTTTCTTCGCTTCGCTCCCTCAAGGCCGCGAGGCGGAGAAGACGCAAGGCCGTTCCCTCTCCTTCTCGGAGAAACATGACGACATCATCTCTGTCAAATGCGCCTCCTTTTCTTGAAAACTTTGGTCATCCGTTCGAGATATCGCTGTATGAGTGATGTTTTGGTGTTTGTAGCATCCCGTTGCACGGCTTTTTTGCGTGTTTTGTGGAATCAAAATTTCGGTTCAGCATCCCTTTAAAGATAAAACGAAGCTGCTAATTCTGCTACTCATTCCCTCTGCTTACGCAAGCATCCTGAAATTGAAATAAGAGGAATCAATACCATCTCAAACACATAAGCTAACCTACTTCCTCACACTTTTTCTTCCCTTGAACGAGAGCTTCCGGTCGCTGTGCAAACACTTCATGCTTTAAATATTTTTGCGATAAAAGACACTGCCTAAACACGTTCGGTCTGCTTCGTTTCTCCTTGAAGTTGCAATTCATTACAGGACATATCAGACAGCACAGCCTAGAGTAACACTAGGTCATTCCGAAAAGTACAAAAGGGTATTTGGAAATGGAAGTCACTCAATAATATGCTAGTAAGAAAAAAAAAAAAAAGCAGCAGCAACGATATAACTTTTGTTCCTAACTAGTATAACTTCCCCACCAAAGCCCTCCAGTGACACCACTCCTTCATCGGCAACCATTCCTTCGCATTTCTTTGTTTATGTGGCATGCCACTAGCCTACTCGGGATTGTGCACTAGGACAAGGTCAACATAAAACACTTCCAATACATACTACATGGCAAGAGTTGCACTGTGCAAGGGGGATAAAAGACTATCGTGCCACAGGTCTTGCTCTAGATTAGGAGACACCCATCAAACAAGGCTGGACAACTGGCGCAGTCTATGTCCACAAACTCAAAGGTTGGGGCAGGTCAGTCTCTAAAGATGCAACTCAGCCATTCGCACACATCTGAAGAGACAGACTCTGAAATGCATGATGAGAGAAACATTGTGGAACATACCAAAGGAAGCGGCCCATATCTTCAATCGCGCCTGTTCTAGTCGAGATAATAACCGAGGTATCTATTCTGTGAGGGCGTAAGCTAGTTGTCTCTACCATGAACAATAGTCTAAATAAGGAAGCTCCCAACAGAAGCAGGGTTTCTTCCCCCAGCATGTCCATTTCCTTATTTAAAAGAATGCCTAAAAACAAGGGCACCTATTTTACTTAAGAACACGCAGAGAATCAATCTTAGAAAGAAGAATCTAGCCCAGTGGTTCTCAATAGGGGTGTGCGAATATTTGAAACTTTGAATACTTTGCGAATAATGCTTGCCATTCAATTCGATTGGCTTTGCACTTTCGCTGTTCGAAATATCTGAGTTCTTCAAATACTTCGAAAATTACGAATAACACAGAACTTGCTGATTAGCGTCAACTCGCGGTCAAGTTCCCTGTTTTGTTTTCGGACTGCACAGTATGGTTTCCAGCTTGGCAAAGCCAAAAAACCTAACCTAAGTGCCTTTTCTTATTTTTGTATGAAGCACTGGAAAGTTATTTGCACACGGTAGCACGATCTGGTCCTTTGCTTGCCATATCTGGATTGCAGACTTGGCGAAGTAAGTGGTTGTGGCACAAATGCTGCAATAGATATGATGGAGGAATCTGATCTGCAGCGGCACATGCACCGTCGTGACCACAAATGCGACAGGGTCTGCTCACTACAGTCCTTCTTACAGTCACTACAGTAACCAAGGTGTTATGAATTCGGATATAGATTTACGGCTGACTTCAGCTATTGGCGATATCTGGCTCGTGTTATTTTCCGCTCGATTTTCCGGTTTATCAGTTTGTCATGGATTCCTTTTGTTTTTAATTTCTACCCGTTTTCACTGGTAAAAGTGAGACTTGCTCCCTCCACCAAAAAAAACCAACGTATTCTTCATTTATATTGCCTTTTTGTGGCACCCTCTATCGGCACAACTATTGCACATGAAAAAAGATTGAGCAGAGTCAGTGTGGCTGCACGGCGCGATGCACTATCTCCAACTCTGCTGTGGCCTGCCGACCCGACTCCACTTATGTACTTCCGTTTATGTTCACGTGGTTGCGTTCACCCACGCAAAAAGATATTGCACAAAGTCAGAAGCGACGTGATCTTCGACTTTGTATTGTGGCTTGCCTTGCCACTGCTTGTGTACTTTTGTTTACATTTATGTGGTTGCGTTTGTCTGCGACGCAATATCCGACCGCCGACCCACCTCCACTCGTGTACTTTCATCTGCATACTGTAACTTCACTCCTTGAATGGTGTTTTACTGACTGATCTTTTATTTCATCAGTTTTTTATCAGTCATATGCATGACATTTTTCTTATTGAAATAAAATTTACCTTTTCATAAATGTTTGTTGAAGAAAAAATTCCTGTTGTGTTTTGATTGAGCATTCTTGTTTAATTCACATCAAATAGAAAATGTTTGTTTTTAAAAATGTGCTTATTCGAAACTACTATTCGCATTCGAAAATATTCAATTCGATTAGTAACCTTTATAATATCAAAAGCATTAACTGCCCCATGGAGCGAGCTGACGTCATCAGCTTTGAAACCACGCCAAACGGCACCTCAAATCCTTTCTCCAAGTGAAGCCAGCCCCCAGCTATGAAACCACGCGCAAAGCTAGCCAATGGCACCAAAATTCCCCGATTCCAAAGGAGCGGAGTAAAGCTGATGGATTTCGGCTTCAATCCCATTGGCTAGCGCGCGTCGACGAGGCTCCCATTGGCCGCTGCACGTCGGTTTTAACGACCGGCCACCCCATGGTGCAGAGTGTCCGTCGCGCCAAGGAGAGGTGCCCTCTCCTCGCCGGCAGAGCGCGGCGCTCTGCCGTCGACTCAAGTACACTGCGGACGAAATAAGGGATCGGAAAAATGATGTACAGATTGCGACACTGTTAGTGCGAACAGGCGATCGCCTGTTTTTTTAGTTTTTCTCTTTGAAACCGTAGGATGTCATCCAAGTCGATATTGCTACGGAAAGAGCTCAATTAGTTCTATAATGTAAGCGATAAAATTTCGTTCTCGCTAATACTATTTACAAGTAAAATGCGAAAATGCGCCGAAGTCGTGTTCGCGCTAACAGTGTCGCGATGTGTACATGCTTTCGCATTCACAACCCATAAGAAGTGCTTAAGTGCACCTTGAGCCTTTTATTTGATTAGATACGCTTCAAAAGATTTTGATCTTCACACACCTCTAGTTCCCAGACCCTTAGGGGTCCCTGAAAGCCTCATTGGGGTCCCCAAAACTCTCAACTGTTAGTCAAGCCAAGCAATAAAACATTTCTTTTAATGACGCTGGATGTCCCACAAAACTAAACTATATGTGCCAAGTTAGTAGGGCTGATTATTGTCCGTTTCAAAGCTTCAAAGTTGGTTTGCACACATTTAGTTTTCTGCATTTACCCCTTTGTAATTGTAATCATCCAATACTCCCCCATCCCTTCTGCTGATCCAGAAGGGGTACCCAAAACATGAGGGGCTGAGAACCACTGACCCCTTCTCAGGGGTTCTCAAACTTTTTGGCCTTACGGAACCCCAGGAAGCCTCAAGAACTGCCGCGGAACCCCCCCCCTCCACATTTGCCGACTGAGAAGCAACAGATGCATAATTGTAGGCAATTTTGCTTTTGTTTCTTCCCATATATCCCCACCATATCAATTGCAATGTCAGTACAAAGTGAGATGAAGGCACTTTGCATGGTCCTGTTGCGCAGCCTGCAGCATGGGAGTGGGGGGGGGGGGGGAGGGGGCTTGCACTTTGGGTGTTCGCGGAACCCATGAGACCAGCTCGTGGAACCCCTGTGTTCCCCAGAACCCAGTTTGAGAACCCCTGCTTTAGTTCATTAGCTCTGCAGTTACCACACATATCTCCAACTTTCAATTTTGTCAAAGTAATATCTAAGTAAACAGCAGCTAAATGTTGCACATAGTGCAATAAAATCAAAAAGCGGTTGTAGGCCACCCTCAAACTAAACTATCCTTTCGACACCATGTGCCCAAAAATATCCTCGGTATCGAAGCTCTATTTCTTTCTATGACCTGAACTCGTGCAACCAGCAGTTCCATTAACACTGTCGACATGGGGCAAGAGATAGCCTCACTTGCAAAAGACCGCTACAGCCCCCTTCTAGAAAAGGCAGTGAGTGCACAGGCACTTCCTTTTGCAAAGCGGCCTTAGAAGACATGACGCAAGAGCGGGGTGCACCCCACCTTTCTTCTTCTTCTTTTTTTTCTGCTCCTTGTTCTCAGTGTGGGCGGCCCCTAGCAGGGTGAGGATGATGCCTGCCTGGGAGTTGACACCCACTGCTGAAACCAGCACTTTCCCACTCCCTTCCATGACGTGTGTGCCTAACAAGAGAAGAGACAAGGGGCTGTAGTGGTGAGCTGCCACTTGGCACCCGTCTGCTTCGACGACAGAAAGGGCCGTCGGCATTGCTTGTCGGACAAGTCGCATGGGTTCAGCTGCACTTGAAATTGTGTTAGTGGCAGAAAAGGCTGTTTCAGAGGCCAGCAGAATTTTTTTTCCAAAATTTAGTTTGGACGACGGGAGCTACACGCAGGGACAACTTTTCTTGGCATTTTTGAAGAGAGAAGAAGAGCACGCACACAGCTTTGATCGGCACTCAAAGTGGGAGAGGGCTCTAATGCTTGTACCTTTGAGTGCGTTGCCAAGAAAAGTTGTCCTTAAAGGGCCCCTGAAAATAAAAAAAATGTTTTTTTTTAAACAATCTGGTTGGGACACGCCTGTCAAAAAGTTAATTTTACGCAAAAAAAAAAAAATTTTTAGAGCAATATTTATGGTGCGAGATTTATTTTGAATTCTGCGTGCAAAGTCCATGACGTCCCGGAATGGTCATGCCCTCTTCCCACCTCAACGAGATGGTTATGTTCTCTCTCCACCTTAGTGTGATGGCCAAGCCAATCCATCTCTCCTCCACGCACCCGAAATGCCGAAAGAAGAGTGGAAAGGAGGTGACTACCCACTAAATAGCGTCTCGTGCCATCAATATTGCTCTAAAACAATTTTTTTTTCTTTTTTTTTTCGCGTAAAGTTAATTTCTGAACACGCGTGTCCTAACCAGACTATTTAAAAAGAAAAAAACCTTTAGGTACAAGCACCTTTACACAATGCCGAATGGCTCAGAACCAAGACCAACCAGTTTCCTCTTTCATATTATGCCTCTCACAGTTGCTCAAGGCTCATATAATTAGTGATGAAATTCCTTATGCACACGTGTTATGATTTCATGATTTGGAAATAAACAAAAATGACACATTCTTACCACACTTCTTCGGAAATGTTATAGCAAATGCTTATAGATATTTTGTGAACAGCCTACATATTATGAAACTTGTATTACATATTCCCTAATATGCGTCATGGGATTTAATACCCTTCGAACGTCATCTAAGATTTCAGCAGCCCCCCCCCCCTCCCCCCCCTCCCCCTCCTGCCACCCCCACTATTCGCCATAACTTGCCTATAATACTAAATTATCCCCACATTAGATCGACCGTCAAAGACGGTTTAGAACACCTGACCCCCAAGACAAAATTAATCGAATGGGAATTCTGACAATTCGCACCGCATCCGTGCGGTGTGAATTGTCGGAAATCCTAGGACAACCCAAGCACAACACAAGAGCAAAATAGATGGAATGAAAGAGTCACCAACCTGAGAACAACATGGGATCTATATTTTCTCCCTTTTTGACGTGATCCGATTCTCCCGTTAGTGTGCTTTCGTCGATTTTTAAGTCATTGCTCTGGATGATGATTCCATCTGCAGGAAGGAGGTCGCCTGCAATCCACGGAGAAAGAGGGATGGTCAGCCACAAGAAATTAAGAAGGATGTTTGTCCCTCATTTGGTGTTGCCCACTTGGTAAGTGGCGTTTCTGGAATCCCCCCCGTAAACATGCAACTCATCTCCTAAAGAATTCCCAAAATGCCTGTTTGTTTTTTTGCTGGACATTGACATACAGGTAACCGATCTGGAAAATCAAGTAAAAAGTTAGAGCTAAAATATATATTAGCTATTCAGCGATTTAGTAAAAAAAAGAATGAAGACAATTCCAAAACAATTTTTACAAATGGTACTCAATACTATCAAATTCAATCGCATTTTCCCAATAAATATTTCCTCACAAAAAACAGCCTGTAAAAGATAGTGGCTAGCAGGGTTGGGCAGAAATAGTCAAAAATGTATTTGGAAATACAAATACGGCGATACATTAAAATAGTAGCTAAAATAGTGATGCTAATATATATCTGTAAAAATGTACCGCGATACGTATCGGAAATACATTTTATAAAGAGGCAAAACGTCTTTGGAAATAGAAATACAGGAATACATTTTATGGAAGGCAGAAATACAAATACAGAAATACTGATACTGCAATACATTTTTCAATTTTGCTTGAGACGCCAAATGAGATGAAGTTTGAAGTGTAAGTTTTTGATCCGAAATTACTTTCCCGTAGGCTTGGCACTTCGGCTTAAAGGTAGTGGTTTCGGTCGACAAGGAGTCTTCAATGATATCAAAAAACGTTCCATCAAAGACTGACCGCGGTCCCTTCCCTGATATCCTGTCTGTCTGACAAGGGATGCGAAAAGACTTCGATGTCTAAATAAATTTCATGTCACCCTAATTCTCAACAAAACGTTACCACGCCCCTGTCCAATAAGGACACCCCTGTCAACATTGATCACATGATGTCGTAGTGGAATGAACTGGTATTCTTTACGCGTACGTGTGGCCTTGAACATGAAACTTTACCACGCTGCTGTATGAAAGGACAATTCATACTTTTGTTGTAGGTTACCTAGTTGACGATCACACAGGCAGTGTCGTTTGCAATTTTTGAGAATAGTGGACCACCTGAAGCATCCTGGAACATGTCTTATCTCCTGTTACAGTTGAAAAAATAATATGGTGGCATCCCTGTTCCGAAGGTTCTTCCTGCCGACCCTCCACCACCCACGCATTGAATGCAGTCCTCAGGTTTCACCTAGCATCATCCAAACAGAGACCTCCTGGATCGCGACCTGATATTGCCGGCACAGGTGCGATTTCTCCGAGAAACAGCGCACTCGAACCAAATCGCAGATGTACAAAGTCTGGGTCGGCACAGCGAGGCCAAGTCTGGCCTCTTTCCTGGGTTTCGGATCACCAGAGAAGCGGGTCATGTTCACGTCGGCTGATGTACCCTTGAGCCATGCAATATTACGAGCGCAGCCGCAGACGCATTTGATTATGTGTTGAACTTTACTGCGTGAGTCATCCTACTATTTCAAGTCAACCACCGCCAGGCTCGTGCTGCAACGGACTGTGACTCAGATTTGCCGGCTGGGTGTACTGTATATGCTAAGGCAAGAGAGACGGTTAGCAGCGGGTGTTCAATGCCAGCAAACAATGACTCAAGAAATTCTACCTAAGGACCTGCGGCAGAAGATGCTCCGACTCCACTCCTGGCACGCCAACTGGTTTGAGTCTCCGACTACGCAGCACTTCTCAGAAGTGAGAAGAGGACGCATAGAAAAATAGTTTAGAGAATCGGAAGGAACCTTGGTCAGCATAGTAACAATGCCCCAGCATCTCCTTGACCCTGGTGCCCTCAGAAGTATAAAAAAAATGGATTCAGACTTTTTTTTTTTTTTTTTTTAGGGGGAAGGGGGGTATTTTTTTTAAAGAAATGTAACGAAATACATTTCATCCTGATTGTACCGCGATACAAAGAAACGTTCAAAATGTATTTCGATACAGAAATACAGATGCTGGTAAAAAAATCTATCGCAATACAGAAATACAGATACAAAATGTATTTCTGAAATACTATCGCGATACAGCCCAACCCTGGTGGCTAGAACCAAAACCCGGACAGAGGATTTAAGAGACATGGGGAGACAAATGGCCTTATCTCGGCAGAAATGGCTATGGGACAGAAAAGTACAAAAATACATTCTACTCTAAATCAGTAATGAGCCCAGCACCGACAGCACAATCTGCTCATTGAACGTTGGATCAGTTTGTATGGCATCCGTTCATCCGTTTCACGGATGAACGGATGATCATGGGATCATCCGTTTGGATTACAAGTTTATCCATCTTGTCTGGAATGCTTCTCTTAGATGCTTCAATGGTGAAACTTCTGGGTTCATTTGCATGACCCTTTAAAGCTGCTTTGTGTGAAAAAGTATCTCCAAGGACCTATGTTTTTTGTTACCCAAATCTAAAAACATAACATACATAATTAATAATATTTGCTTAGAAAAAATAATTATCTTGTTGGCAACATAAGATTTAATTGCCTGGCTAGTTGGATACTGCTACCTGGTGCGTTTATGCCTGGTAAGTCTATATACACTCTATCTCAACATAGGTGCAAGCAAAGCCAAAGCTACAAGCATGAGCATGTCTCCTTGAATGGCGCTTCTACCACTCGAGCTCGCACGGGCTCGGCAAACCCGCTCGAAGCATGGTACTTGCTCTTGTAGCCTCTGCTTCGCTTGGACTAATGGAGAATCCCAGAATAATATTTTGAAACACAAATATATTCTTGCAAAGCTTTCTTTCACTAACTCACAGATGCCAGGCAAAAACCAAACAGGCGCTTGCATCAAAACAAAAAGCAAACTATTCACAAATGCCTCGACTGTAAGGAGTCCTGCTGAAACTTGTCCAAGGCTCCTGAAACACTAAAAGTGAGCACAACAAATTCTCTTAACACAAAGCACTAAGGCTGAGCATTCACACTGGAGCAGAAACTCCTAGGCATAACACATGCGAAAGTCACCCCTGTCTGCTTCTTTTAAGCAAAGGTGAGCTTTGTCACGGGATTCCCTTTAGTTCATTGTAGAGATATCAACTGCAACTACGGTGGAAAAACTCCATGAAATCAATTTTTACTCAACAGAAGGCAATGTGAAGCCTAAGATGCAATCCTGCTGCTAGTTTGAGGGAATAATTCGTGCCCGTACAAACCTCATAAAATATATGAAGCACATAAAATCACAGTTACAACTAAGCTCGCTACAAATATGCATGCGGCTCTGGATATTCAAAATATATAACAAAATGCCAAGCAGAACACTCTCACATAAAACTAGTTTCTTCCTGCTGCTACCGCATACAGCCAAATTCTATTGGTGAATTTCGCTCGCAGATCTCGAGCGCTCCAAAAACGCTACATTTGGAGCGCGCATATTCCACTCGCAGATCTGGCTCGAGCTGGTCATCTTCCGCTTGTAGATCTCTGGCATCAAACCCCGCCGAACTTGCTCTGCGGGATTTCACAGATCTCTCCGGAAGTTGACAGAGCGGCCCACGTGATTTCCGCCTAAATCGGCAGTGCGCATGCGCGGCGAGGTCGGCGGGCCGGTCGGGCCGTCGAGCTGGATCTGTGCGGGTGCGTTGGTTGTTTACGCGGGATTGTGACGGCTCGAACGCTTCTCCCTCGCGTAGATCAGGGATACAAAGCCGGGACTGTGGAGCGTGGTAAATCGCAAGCGCTGACATCTGTGATTGTGAAAGGAAGAACGACAAAAAAGCAGGAGGCAGACGCAAGGCTAGGCCTGTTCATTCGGCAGCCAATGATTGTTTACCTTTTTACACGGCATTCCGCCTGCATTTTCCCATGAAATAAAGTAAGAAGTGATTAGGCAACGACCGCGCAAGTGATGGTTTGTTACCTCTGTGTTTATTAAAGTCGTACCAGAAATCTGAACTCCACCGCGGGCAATCGCTGTCCGTGTCCCGCCGCTTCGAGGCGGCCGAAAGGTATGTGACGGTGCCGAACGCGGACGTATTCGTGATTTGTGACATGGGCGTCGTGGTGCGTATAATTTCGCCCGGCCTGTGTCGCGTGTTATTTCTGCAGCTAAGCATTGACAGTCGTCATTGGTCGTCGGAAAGATCAGTCGGCTGAGGCGTTGGCGGGCTTGTCAAGTTCGAGCAGCGGCCATTTTGAACGGCAGTGGGGAGGGGTGTGGGGGAGGTCGCTCCAAAAATGCAAGTTTATCTTCCCCTCGTCGATTCGGAGCGGGTCCCACGGAGTGGAATTTCGCCTCCCTCACGGATTTCGGAAAGCGCTCCGGATCTACGAGTGGAATTCACCATAAGTCAGTTTCTAGGTGACCTGTGCCATCACTGCACCTGTAACCCTACAAACACACTACAGTTGAGCAGTTTGCAAACGACCAGCATCAAAACCAACGCAACCATCATAACACAACTGGCATTCTTTGTGTTCAGGCAGCCACTACTGACAGAAGCAACAAAAATGAAGCACTCGAGCAGATAGCACTGAACTAATCAGCTCAAAATCAATGCCCTCAACAAAATAAAAAAAGGGGTAAAAGGGCAAGAGAACAAAAACAACTCACCATATTTGACCTGGCAGATGTCACCGACGACAATTTCCGACACGGCGATCTGGTTCACTTCACCGCCCCTGATCACAGCAAACTTGTGCTCCTGTTCTATCCTGTTTTGGAGTCCACGGAACTGGCGCTCTTTCGTGTAGTCATTGAATGCAGTCACTAGAACCACGATTACTACAGACACTAGAATAGCTACACCTTCTATCCACCCAGCTTCCGATTGGCCAGGTTCCTTTGGCTTGCCTGTGGACACAGGAGGGGAGAAGAGGAAACATGGAAAGATTATGGTCACGATCCTGCATGACAAGATCCCAGCTGCTCAAACAAACCACTCTATAGGATTTTGCATTACACCAAAGAACATCTCTCACCCTTCTAAAGAGTCAAGCATTTTGCTTTGCTGCATATTGTACCCCATGTTGGTACAAACCGTAACCTCAGAATAGGAGTGTTCAAAGAATCGTTTGTGGCACTCTCATGAATCCAGCTTGCCTATGCTTTATAACAATAAAATGAACTATAGCATCTGCCTTCACTCCAAAATTTCCACAAAACTGGCATCTTTAAAGAGACACAAAAAAGGGGCACAGACACATGCTATAAATGGAAAAAGAGAACTAGAACATGGGTTATCAAACTTGGTTCTTAGAAACAGAGAGGTCAACCGAGCTCCTAAATTTTTTAGGCTATCCCTGACCCTTGGTAAAGTGTTTTTCCAGTTATGCACCATTTTAGATCTGAGTTATGCAAGGACGCGTAACTATGAGTCAAACCCTCTCTGATGTCTGCATTATGAATTACGTAATCATAGGCTCCTGCACTGCTTTGATGTGTCAGTGCCGGGACCGGGGAAGGATCTTTGGATAACAGTCAAAAGAGAGGAGGGTCCCTCAAAGTTGCAAAACTTGAGAATCCCTAAATTAGGATTTCCCTGTGATTCATTCTTATTCATGTTGTTTTCTTGCCCTCCATGTGTCACCCAAAAAACCTTACTTCCGTTCAGCAGTTATGCACAGAAAATCCACACAAGACATGCAAAAACGAGAAAGATAGAGACGCTTCACCTCGATGGTCATTCTCGTGGTGGTCTTCGGGCTCGATGAAGGCGAGGATGAGGGAGACAAAGGCGGCCACCTGAAGGATGATGAGGGTCATGTCCTGCAGGGCCTCCCACACCAGCTGCAGGAACGTCTTGGGCGCCTTGGGCGGGATCGAGTTGGGCCCAAACGTCTGCCGCCGGTGCTCCAGGTCCGCCGCCGAGCCACTCAGCCCTGCGAGGGTCCCCCACGGGTCAATGCCAGCGAGAGGCAATCACCCAAGGCGGCGAGGATTGTAGTGTGTGACAAACTCTGTTTGCCTTCCCGCAAGTTTACATCCGTAGCAAAAAGTAAAATAAGGCAATGCAACAGTTATCAGCTTGAGCATGGCAATCTCTACAGATAATTTCTAGCTTTCCCTTCAAGCTGAGGAATGAAACAGATCAGACAGCCCCATTCAAACTATGCAGCAAAGCACACAGCGCCCCATGAGGCAGTTTTTCCAGTCTATTCTGGCTGTGGCCGTGCGCTCTATCAAGGCAAATCATAGTCTTGCCGACTGTACGCTTTGTGCCTTCACTCACTTCCTCCTCTAAGGCATGCTCTCCCGCTTGGACCCTTCTTCCCCCAAGAGTTTCACCGTCAAAGCAGCAAGAGCCATGTCCCCTCTTTTAGTCCCTTGTAGAAACTAAGGAAAACTTTCATTTTGCACACGATCAAGGTTGTTTCTAAGCCCAAGGATTTGTTACCCTGAAAACCGAGGCACTTTCAAGGTAACAAATTATCCCAGTAAAATATTTGAGCATTCTTCTGGCACTTGAATTTCACTCTGCACCAGCTGATGTGACATCAATGCAAGTCATGTCTCTGCTCAGCAGTAAGGCTGCCATAATAGCAGCTGATGCGATATCAGTATAAACCCTGAATTTTGAAACTAGAGGGGACATCCTCTTTTTAACTGCAGGTAGGTAAGCTGCCCAGCAAAGATCACGCCAGGTCGTCCACACAAAACAAAAGCCCACAGGGGCAAAGCAGACGAGCACTCCAAAGGAACTAACCATCGGTGGGGGAGGTGTACAGCTTCCTGCAGAGGTCCTGGATGCCGCCGTACTCTTCGCGGATCCTCTGAATGGCCTCCTGGCCGCGGGTCTCCATGAGCTCCCGCAGCTGCTGCACGTTGACCCCATACTGGGCAGGGCGTCCTTCCACCGTCTCCATGGCCCCCCTCCGCTGCTGCTGCTGCTGCCCCTCCGGCCACTGCACAGCAACACACCTCCAAAGTCATTGACTGTAGCATACCTCTGCAGTAAACTGAAGCATACCTATGCAGTCATTAATTGCAGCATATCTATGCAGTCATCAACTACAGCATACCTATGCAGCCATCAACTGCACCATGCCCAACGTCCAATGGAGAGAGATTCTCAAGCTCTCAGAGTAATGAGGACCCTCCAATACATTAATTCTCAAAATCGGTTCCCCTAGCGTCGAAATTTCCCCGACTGTCCTTATCCCCCCAGTAGAGTGTTCCAGTTTAAAGACTGTTTTACCATATTTAAGTCACTTATTGATGCGAGCCGAATACTCCCTTGTATGCATATTATCGTTTAAATGATCCGAAGGCTTCTGTGCTGCTATTCACATCATACGAAGACAGGGGCGGGTGGGGAGGGGGGTGTCCTAGTCGCTTGGTTTCTCTTCTTTTTCTTTAATATTGTTGATTTTGTTTCTGCAGCAAATGTGATGCTACTTGAGTAGGTTAAGTTGAATTGCCATATTTGTCTTCTGTTTCATGCAAATATTCTAGTTGTATCCTTTTTATGTGTATAATCAATTACTGCCAAAAGTGCCGGAATGCGTCAAAATATTTTCTGTATGCATGCATTGTATCATCTTTTGCAGCGTAACCTACACTGGCCAAGGTTGAGCAGTTTCGCATGGGTCCTAGAGAGCCGTGCTGCGCATGCGCAAGGAGCGGAGATGGAACGGACAGGACTGGTATGACGCCTAGGTCAGTCCCCGATGCACACGCCACGCGCATGCACCCGTTCGAGATCATGGCTCGCACTGTCCGGTTGTTCTGGGAGGCAGCTTGGTTGCTTGATACATAACAACACGGCGCACAGCTCGCCAAACCAACGACGGGCATCTGGCACGCCCCAGCAGAGGACTGAGGATTAATTTGGACCACCTGGGGATTTTTTGACGTGCAACCGAAAGCTCGGTTACACGGCGCCTCCTCCGCAATAAGGAGAGTGGAGAAGCTTTACTAATCGGATCCCGAAGTAGTCACATAATGCGTATACCGTGTGTGTGTCATTGAAGCAGCAGTAAGCATGATAATCAAGCTAATCCTAGACAACCAGAAAAGCTGAGAATAACCAGCTGAACCTAAGCTTACGCTACGTATATCCTAACATAGTCGAGCTAAGCCATTGTTTTGTTTTTGGTGTTGCTTGGTTTTGTTTTTCAAGTTAGTGCATTATGTCCCCCCCTATGTAATGCCTGTGAGGGGCTTTAGGGTACAAAAATAAATAAATATTACAGTTGTGAATCAGCCCATGTTTCTCCAATGTGCCTTCCTTTAACCCTGTCCTTTCAAGTGCTGTTTTACATGATTTTCAATGCAGCTCAACTTACGACCCTGCTGCTCTGAACAACCAAGCAAAAAGAGACCCCATGTGCACAGTCACGTGCGGCCAGTAAAAGCCCAAGGCAGAGCGCAGGCATTCCAAAAATGCACTATGGGACTGGCTGCTGCCTGCAGACCTCCCCCATGCTATGAAGATGGCACCCGCCAGACAATCTCGTTCCCCGCTGTGTTTGAGTAACTGCAGCACAAACAAGCAATCACTTGTTTGTGCTTATCTTTTTAGTGCCGACTGTACACTCATGCATCTCACAGCATTTCACAATCCAGCCAAGAGTCAGTGCAGAAGCGCCCCTTTTCATTGCAGCAGAACCATCATTGCAGTGGCCACAATGGTAGCCACAAGCAATTGCTGCAAAACTGTTAAGTGAACTTGCATGCACACAGAGTATGCGCACAGCTCAAATCTCGACCATAGTGCCAGGGAAGCAGTGGGGTGAGCATGAAATTCAACAGTTCTTCCACTAAACAAGTGTAGAGTAATGACATTGCTTCATGTGTAGAGCACCCACTGATGTCTACAAAACAACCTTGGAGCACTTTAGAGGGGTTATTTTGATTGCAGGCACTTTATTGGCTTGACCCAAAAGAAGCAAATGTGTGACGATGTACACTCAATTCTTAGGAGGCCTTTTTCTACTCTATCTACACTTTGGCCAGTACCCCGGTCGTTCCAAAGCTCCTCTCACCGTTCTACACACCCCTAAATTAAAACCATAATTTTTTTTTATTATGTATAGCATAATGAAAACGAAACTAGCATAGCTGATTGAAAGTGCTATCTAGACGTTCTCCAGGTAACAAGACTTCATTTCCACAACTGATCCTATGCCACATGACAAACTGATATAACTAAAACTTTTTAAAAATTTAGCACAGCTGTGTTCTATAAGACTCTACAGTGTTCAGCAGCAACGCAACTGCCATGCTGGGAAAGAAGGAACAAAAATAAATTAGTTTCAATAGTGTTGCTGCTTCAATTATTCCAGAAAACAAAAAAATAAACTCTATATGAATGTAATCAGATATGTTTCAATGTAGTTTTGTTGGACAGCAAAATTAACAGCCACAACATACTACTTTGTCCTCGTCTTTTGTTCCCTTTTTTAACCTGAATGAACACCCAACATATAGAGCCAGTGCGCTTGCATAAATCAAGATTTGCATAGCTTTATTAAGTGCGAAACTCACAATTATCCCAAGAAGCAGTTTTGGCATCATGAAGTGCAATGTTTCTACATCCCAAGCAGGCTATGTTCACAGTTCAATTTTTAGCGTCTTCATTTTCAGGTGTGGACAAATTCAAGCGAGAAAAATGCTTCTCGTGATCATATAACTTTTACCCTCAGAGTACAGAACTTTTCAGACTTGAGCTAAATATCCAGAAGTGCAACTGCACCTCCCAGCATTCCAATTTCTACTAAGTCGGGCTTGTTAGAAACTCTGTAAACATTATCACAGAAGATGGTGGCACTTATCTCGTATCATATAACTAGAGCCCCGCATACCCGCAGATTACCCACGGATCATCCGCAGATATTCGCAGTAAACTGGCGGACGTGGATAAAAATTAATCAGATTTGTCGGATTGCAGATCGTATGCATATGCCAGCGGTTGCGGATGCGGATCGGATGCAAATATCCCCGGGTCCGGATCTATGTTTTGCCAAGGCGGCCCTTAAACATGTGTGACCACACAGCGTAGAGTGGACAAGTGAGTGATACCCTGAAGTGCACCATCTTAAAAAAGCAAGTTGCTCCCATTGTGGGAGCCAACTACTCTTTTAGATCAAAATCTAAAATCAGGGAGAAAATTGTTCTTTACGTCAAGAAAGATTTGATTCTCAGTGAAAAACGCTTTCGAACGTTCTATCTCACCAAAAATATGCTGTCGCTAGAAAAACTAAAGAATGCAGAAGCATCAGTCGTACCGGGAAAGTGTGTTTTTGTTTGGCAGGGAAAGAGAGGAAAACATTCTTTGGGCAAAGAAAGCCCAAAACATACAAGCCACAAGAAAGAAAAAGAAGCCTGCAAGTGGCTTCTTCGCCTAGTAGATCGAGGAGACTGAATTCGATCCTCTGGAGTGGTGGAACATGCGCCAGCACGAGTTTCCACACCTCATTCTGGTAGCGGAGTTCGTACCTGTCATCCCAGTATCAAGTGCATCAACTGAGAGAAACTTCTCATTAGCGGGTATTTCTTTAGGAGAGGCGGACCAGTCTGGATTCATACATGTTGACGATTTTTTTGTTTCCCCAACAGAAACCTCGACAAGTGAAACGCGTATGTGTGCGCTTTCTTTTTCTCGGCAGTTGGCACCGAGCTGTATTTAAGTATATGGTTCCGACCATTCAGTTGAGGGTTCATGTTTAAAACTGAAACCGATAGGTGGTGTTGTCATTACTGAATACTGTGATATTTTCACACTAGTGTACTCGCACCTTACCATATATACACGAGTACTTTGCTGCAGATAGTGATCGCCTTTCGTCTCCCACTTTTTTATTGTTTGGCCTAAATAAAATGACACAATGTTATTAGTCTGTCCTTTGTTAACTTTCATGTTCATAAGATAGGTACCTGCTTGAAGTGGGTTTTACAAAAAAAAAAAGGAAAATAAATATTAAAATTTCCTTCCTTTTCAGTGCATCTTCCGGACAGTGTCAGTGTCATGAACTTTCAAAGCAATCTTATAACTGCGATCATCTTTCCAGCGATGTAAAGTGCCTCTGGAAGGATGATTGCTTGTTTTATAAATATGATTCAAACACAATACAATAAAATGACTTTCACCGTATTCTGACACGAAGAGTTTGTTGTAAAGGTAAGCTCATGGCTTATAGGATACCATCCAGATGCTTTTCTAATTTTTATTCATGCTTGATTTCATGATGTAAAATGAATGCGCAGATTGAGGGTGGGATGCGGTTCCAAAGTCAACGGTTGCTGTTCGGATGCAAACAGACAGACTATGGACGCGTATCGTATGCAGATACAACTATTTAAGAACATTGCGGATGCGGTTCAGAAGCAAATACAAAGTCTGCGGATGTGGATCAGATGCGGAGGATCAAGCTGTTATCTGCACAAGGCTCTATATATAACGGGCATAGTACCACCATATATTTGAAGTCATAATCTGGAAAAATGGGTGAAAGTGAGATAATAGCTTAAAATCTAATGAATGAAAACAGCAAAACTGTAGCGACTGGAAATTTCAGACTGCACTAGATAGCAAACACCCAAATAGTCTTAAATAGGAATTCAAATTAGGCAAACTTTTCATCAATCTCAATATTTCATACTGCAATGAGTGGAAGAAATTACTCACAGCTTATATCACAGGATGAAGGTACTGCTTATCATCATACCCCAATGGACCTATTCCTAGTTCCTGAAAGCAAGAGAAAGAGAAAAAATCCATTATTGTTTTATTACTTACGACTGATGACACCAAGACGTTCAATATTCTTTAAGGGACGAAACATGCAGTGCCATGAAACTAGGTATGTGACAAACTCTTTTTCACTAAAGGATTGCCAAAAATTCATATTTATTATTACAAGCCTTACAGAGAATTTGCTTGTCAGAGCTCAAGTTCAAACCCGAGTCACAATGTTAAAAATAAGAATTCTGAAACATGCTTTCATATAGTTCTCCCATTTAATGTGAGGCTGGGCTGGCAAGAATGAAAAAAATAACAGATGTCTGCGGAGCTGGGAGTGCGCACATGCGCAAATGGCAAAGGTCGAGCAAGTTCAGCGGACACGCTGCTTGTTCAACCACTGGAACATTCCGGCAGAGTCCATGGACGGATTCTACTCACCGTTATCCTTAATTCTCCCCTTATCACACTGGCTGGTTTCCCAGAGATCTTGAACATCAATGTGTCTAGACCGGGAAAAGAGAAAAGGCAGACGACACAATTAGGACTACAAAGGGCTAAAAAATTTGTGCGGCAGCTCGCAAAGTCACATCGCCGAAACCGCAGCCCACGTTACCACGCCAAGCGTGAAACAAAACGACACCCTCAAAATTCAGGGGGGGAGGGGGTTGGTGTAGGTATCTGTTTCAAAGCTGTAAACGCGCGTGGACAGACAGCTGCCCGCCTTTGTTTGGGGGCACCCGGCAAGGGGATAGCAAAGATGACAGGCACAGCAGTTGCGATCCAAGCCGGCAGCACCACAGGTGCGCAACACGAGATGCGTTTGTCAAGTCACTTTAATGATGGATCACGCAGCACAGCCCCAAACAAGGTACATGCATGTTTCACGACATGGCATGCCCCCTTAATTTGGGAAACCGCTCAGAGGATTACAAAAAAAATTATAACGAAATTGCAAAAACATTAAAGCTGAATTTGTTTGTAGAGCGTGTGCGAGCCAACATGCAGGTGCTTTATCCTAATAATATATAGTTATATACGGATATAATTTTTCTTTTTTCAATATGTTTCAGTAAATTGTATATGCCATAGCATGGCTGGCCTACCGACCTCTACAGAGGTCTGAAAACTTTGACGCGTACGCCACGAAGCACAAATGGATGGCAATGCTGCACATGAAAGCTCCGTAACGGACCTGTTTGCAGCGAATCGATGCGTGCGCCCGCCAGAGAGCGGCGACATGACTGTGAGGATACGCTAGCGTAAAATATTCAGTCATGCGTGCGACGTGAGAGGTCAAGCTCCGATGTGTCTCCAACGGCATCAATCTGGAGACAGCCGATATGTACCTGGCTAGAGAGCTTGAGAGAGAGCCGGACTCACTCTCGAAAGTAAACGAGCACGTAAAAAGCGAATTTTTATGTCTTTACGTGAACGCAGCCCGGAGTGAAAGCCCCCTAAAAGGAAAGCATGCATGGATAAACTCGGCCCAAAAAGTGGGCGGACTTTTCTCGCTTTTGGAGGAAACTAGACTGCACTGTATGCGCGCGCTGGGTGCCAAGTCAAAGTCAACAAACCCCAATCGATGCGATAACACGGCGCTAATGAGATCGGATTCAAGGCATAATTAAAAGGACGCGGAAACGCCGAGCGTTATTCGGTGGTGTAAATTTGGTAGTACGCGGCCTCGACGTTGTAATGACAGGGCGACGATACTTCGGCTTATCGCAGCGCACTGTTAAATCAATACGGAGGCCGGCACCGATACCCAAAGGTCGAGGCCGGACACCACAGCCGTACGACGTTCCACGGCGATTCCTCGGACTACAGCGGCGCGTTGGCAGCGTGCTTTTGAGTTCGTTACCCACGAAGCGCAACACGACTCTACCCTCTACGTACTGTCTCGACTTTCACGGTGTCGTCGGACGTTCCCTCGACGTCGGGTTCGCTTGCCAGATCGCCGGACAATCCATCCAAATGGAAAGAAAGCCGAGCGGGTCCAATCACGCCGAAGAAATATGCACTTTCGGATCCGAAGGCAGGTAAAGCGAGAAGACGACAGTACTGCACACCGTCTCTTCGAGAAGCCGCCGAGCGAGCCGCACACCGCTGTCAGCCAAGCCAGCGAAGGCGCTGTAGCCAATTTAACGGGCGGAAACTAGTGCCATCTAGGTGCTTTTTCGGTTAGCTGCAACGACCGCCTGTTTTTGGTAGGTTGTGGGAGTTGCGGGCGTTGTAGACATAGTTATAGAATGTAGCCGTCACTGTAGCTACCCGACATCGACCAATAACAGTACGCATTTGCACACACGGGAAGAACAAAGCAGCCACGCAGAAAAGAGATGACTGCATAACTTTTTTTTTCTTCTTTCGCTTTTGTAGCAGACGATGCTGAACGGCGTTTCCGCAACTGGCCGTTTTTCGCAATCTTCTCGACTTCAGAATACAATAGTGAACTCCAAAACATTAAAAATAAATGAACAGAACGAAGATTCTTGTTCGTTCAACGTTGCTGTGCTTTCTTATTGTTACTATTACTATTATTATTTTTATTATTACGAATGTCTATGATGTCATCGCAAGCGCGATAACGCTTTCTCTGTTCTAATCTACCTTCTTCCTGGCTCCTTCCCTGTCCTCACACTACGGCATAGAAGGTCGTGCCTTGAATAAATTGTTGGTTGCTGCCCGCTCGTTGCGTTGGCTGCGTCATCGTAACAGTAATCATGCACATATCCAACGTTATTAGAGTAGCTTATCAGCTCAGTTACGGAACTGCTCATAGACGCTGCTCACACAAGCAGTATCGCTACCCCTATTATTATTATTATTATTATTATTATTATTATTATTATTATTATTATTATTATTATTATCATTATTATTATTATCATTATTATTATTATTATTATTATTATTATTATTACAAATGTCTATGACGCCATCGCAAGCGCGATAACGCTCTTTCTTATAATCTACCCTTTCTCTGCCCCCTTCCCCTTTCCTTACTCTACGGCACCGTCACTAGCTGTCAAGGTTCCTAGACGGGCATTACAAGCGAGGCGTTAGCGACATCCACCAGATGCTCTTTGCTAATCGTTTAATTCATTTTAAAATTTGCCTTTTGGAGACTTTTTTTAACAAGATATTGGTATGTTCGATGTGATACTGCTCCTTTGAACACATATAGACCAAAAAATGAGCGCCGAAATTTCGTTGTAGTATCCCTGGCCACAAAGTAGTTATTTTCTGGAATGCAGCCGAATTCAGAAGTACGTCTTCTGAATTTGGCGCCCCTTGCACTGGATTGTTGCACCCAAGAGGGTTAAATGTACTAAGAGAGAACATGACGTCAGCCCCGTAGCTTCCGCAAGCAATCCTCTCATAGAGGAGTATCCTCTCCTTAAAGGAATGGTAAACCGAAATTTGGATTAAAAAAAAAAAAAAAACAATGCTGGAGATGTAGGCGGGACGCTACAATCCCTACAACACTACTAGTAAGGCGATATCTCAAATGGACGGCCGTATTGTGGAAAAAGAAGTCGAGATTGAACCAGGCCGACGAGGCGCGTCACCCCCGTCAAGATACCGAGTTTCCTCCTCCCTTCGCTTCGCTCCCTCAAGGCCGCGATGCGGAGAAGACGCGAGGCCGTTCGCTCTCCTTCTCGGAGAAACATGACGTCAACATTCCTGCCAAATGCGCCCCTTTTTTTGAAAAAAATACGGTCATCCGTTCGAGATATCGCTGTATGAGTGATGTTTTGGTGTTTGTAGCATCCCGTTGCACGCTTTTGCCGCGTGTTTTGGAGAATCCAGATTTCGGTTCAGCATCCCTTTAAAGAAAAAAAAAAAAAAACAGCGAGTGTGCAAGCGAGCTGGCGATACTAATTAATCATAATGTGACATCTGAGATTGGGTTGTGAAAAAATTAAAGAACTTTCATATAGAAGGAAAAGACAAAAGAGAATGTCTCAAAATATTGTGACGTTCTCCTCTGTCGTCTTTTACTTCGACTTGAAAATTTAATTTTTCCGTACTACAGTCTCAGGTGCTACATTATGAATAATTTTACTCTCCTGATATCTTGAACTTTCTTGCTTGCGCTGACCGACGGAGAAGTAGCGAGAGTTCAAAAAGCTACGGGAAAGCCACCCCCGGAACAAACGGAGCGATGCGTCGTCTGCTCACGTTTCTGGGTGAGAGTAGAATATCCCTCTCAGTATCTCTTCGGAGTTGACAAAGCATCATTTCGTGATACAGATTTAACAAAATCAAATTTGTGGAATGTACTTTGAAATCGGGAATTTCACTTTCCTCGGAAAACACCAGAAAAAAAAAAAAAAAAAAAAAACTTTAAGTAACGTACAAGTACACACTCGGAGTATGTACTTCAAGTGAAGTACAAGCTCCTAAAAGTAGTACTTTAAGTACAATGTACCTAAAGTACTTCCCAACACTGATAATTCGGCAGTGACGCGAGACAAAAGTCGGCCTACCGTGGCGTAATTCCCCGATTACAGGACGCCGATACAACGCCATATTATAACATGCGATAAGAAATGCAAGATGGCCAGTCACTTAAGGCTGAACCGCATGTAAGCGATTTAGCGATTGACGAGACGAGCGACGGCAACGGCGGCGAGAGTCAGCAACGAGCGACGAAGATTTCTCGCTGCCGCTTGTCGCGCCGCTCGCTTTTTGGATTTCTAGAAAACGTCGCTCGTCGCCTTGGTCGCTTGTTCCGGTCGCTTTCATGCGGCTTGCCTCGTCGCGCGATTGACCGAGCGACAGCGAAGCGGGTCATCGTCGCTTGTCTCGTCGTTCGCCAAATCGCTTACATGCGGTTTATACTTTATAACGCCGAACTCGGGATAAACGAAAGTCATTTGCGTTGCAATCTACGTCACATGATTTATTATGACTGAAAGCGAACAGAAGACTCTCTACAGTATAGCTTTGTTGCCTGTACAGAGCGCGACACAGTGCGCGACACACTTCCGTATCTGTATAAATACAGGCACGTGTGTGTGGCAGTGTTGTACGGAACAACGTTCCTCGAACGCCTTCCCTTTAGGAGGAACGAAGGAACGCCGCCGTTCCATTATGTGTCTGTGGGACTGGAACGGGAACGCGTTACATTTTTACTAAAGAAAAAAAAAAAGAACGGTAATCTTTTTTTTTCTACAAGTAGTTTAACTTTTATTTTATTTTCAAGATAGAAATTCCAAGAGTATAAAAACAATACGTTTACGAAGAGCAGGATCTCGTTAACTTTTTGGTTACTTATCTTAGGGATTATTTTGTGTGCTCCTCGCTTGGTAACAGTCGGGTGCAGAAGAGCTAGTGGACATCGATTCTTTTTTCAGTGTCCGATACTACAGTACAAAAAGCAAAACTTTTAGTCGAAGGAAAAGACACAGAAAGAGTGAAGTTTCAAACTCGGCTACTTTCTTCGCTTCCACGAATCCCCATACACCCAAAAATCTAAGGCCGCCTACAGCCATCC